AAGCATTCCAGTCCCCGAGGTTGATACAAGATCTTGCCTTTGGAACGGGCCAGCGCGCCCCGAAGACAGTTCGAAAACACTTGTGATTTATTCTACACAGAAATAAAGAAAAGCAAAGTACTACTGTATACAGAAGAAGACAGAAAAATGAAAAGACTAGTTATTTATTTCCAAAAGAAATAGGGGCTTTGCGTCCCCGAAAGCTACAAAAGGAAAGCAAAAAGGGTACAAAAAAGGGGAAGTAAAAAGCAGCTTCATCGGGCTCCAGGCACCTCCAGAACTTCGGCCGAGGGCGAATCAGCGATAAATGGTTGGGAAGCTTCTGGAGCGGGCAGGAGAAGAACTTCAGCAGCAGGAACAGCTGGAACAGTTTGAGCAGCTTGAGGTTCTAGGGCAAGGTCGGACGGAGCGTCCTCGGACAAGTCCACTATCACCGTCTCGGGAGCATCAGCCGAGGTCTGCATCGGTGTAGGGGCTTCATCCTCGGCAGCAACCTGTGCTTCTGCCTGCTCCATCTCTGCCGAGGGCACATACTTGTGCACTTGGAAGAGAGGGGAGTCTGACGGGACTCCAGCAGCCTGGAGCGCCTCGTCCCACCCTTTCTTGAAGAACTCTTTGCTATTTTCTTCAAGAGCGGGGAGCACGTCATCGGCAAACTCCTCCAGAAGTTGTTGCTCCGACTTCCGGTTCAGCTCCTCGGCTCTGATCCTATCTAGCTCCTGGGTAAGGGCCAGACAGCTTTCCTCGGAGCCCACTGCCCTCTCCTCCGCCGCAGAGAGCCGCTGCGTTTGCTCAGTAATCCTCCTCTCAGCATCGGCAAGTGCGGCACTTAGCTTCTCAGCGCCCGACTTGGCCGATTCAGCGTCCTTGAGGAGTTGCTCTATTTGGGCAGCCTGCCCCACCAGGGTAGAATCCCTGGCAGCAACATCTTCCGTTGCCCGAGCAAGGGCAGCTTCCGCTTCCGCCTTCTGATCCTTGGCCCTCTGAAGGTCCATCCTGGACGCATGGTACCGACCAGCAATGATAAAAATCTGCTGGGTAGCCTGCAAAGGAACAAAGAAGTGTTAATCGCAAAAATAGAAAACGAGAGTGAAGGGATCAAAACAGGAATAAACTCACCACCAGGGAATTCTGAATCATGGAGCGAAACAACACGTTGGTTGATCGCCCCCTATGAGCCTCCATGTCGGCCTCGAAATGCAGTGTCTCACTCACTGCATTAGCGACATGAGGATCCGACAGAATAGAATCATCGACCCTGATCACTCTGTTCATGTGATCAGTGGCTCGGGGATTCCACTCTGCGGCCTCCCCCCGAGGCGGAACGGGAGGAGGGGTCTGCTGTTGTTGCTGTTGAGGGGGAGCAGGCGGTAACCCACGATCCCTCCCGCTTTGAGGTTGAGCGGGGGATGCCCTGGGTCCCCGGCTGAGGCCGTCGTGCCGATGCTTCACCCTCCTCTCCTCCTCCACCTGAGGGTCCCGATCTCGCACCTGACCCTGATCAGGAACCCTTGATGATGGGGCAGAGCTGGTTCCTGCCGGAGTACCGCCGGTCGTCCCTCGGCCTCTCCCGGCTGCGAGGGATTGCCTCTGCCTAAGAAACCCCAAATTGATGCGTGGGGTGTTGGACATCGCTTCCTCGAGAGCGTCTTCGGCGTCCAAAGATTGGAGAACTTGAAAATCTGGCCACAGGTCGCCTCCCGAAGTCCCCACCTCGGCGTCCGAAGGAGCAACGTCCTCTCTGACCCCGACCTCAGCGACTCCTTCTACCTCACCCTCTGAAGCCCGATCCGGGTCTTCCTCCAAGTTCTGCTCGACCTCTAACCTCGCCGCCTGATCAAAGAGCTCTGACCACTGTGAAGGCTCGAAAGGTTGAGGGAGCTGTGAGAACTTCTTATACCCGGGGGTATAGTGCAGCAAATTATGGGCAGCTCGGCCAAATCCGTCGGCGCCCGTGAAACTCCAAACCGTTATTAAGTCGGCAAAATTGACCAGCGACCGAGGGGGTGGAGCTGTTTCCCGAGAAGGAATACCTGCACAACAAAGAAGATTTGTCATAAACATGAGAAGTCCCAAGAAACAAATAAAGAACCCAAAGGAACCGACGTACTTGTCGTTCTCCATTCCCGAGGGCAAAGTAAGTCATTGTACTCGGGACCAACACCCCTCTTCCAACATCCCTTGAAGATCAAGATGTCGTCCTTGTACCCCTTGTCCGAATCAGGAAGGTGGGTTACAAGGTACATGGAGGGGTCCCTGGCTTTTAGGTAGAAATGTTGGTGGGGCATGACTCTTAGGAGGGAGTAACAGAAAAGAAGATCATTGAGCCCAATATTCACCCCGAGGCGCCTATTGAGCTCTAGGACCCCCATAATTATCCGAAAGACGTTGAGGCAGCATTGCCCGGGGAAGAGACGGAAGCGAGACAGGAACTGAAGAAGCAGGGGGGGTAAGGGAAACCTAATGCCACCCTCTATGATGGCCTTGGTATAAAAAGGCATGGCATCCGCGGCCCCGAAGGTATGAGAGTTCAACAAAGGGTTAAAGCCCACTACGTCCACGCTCGGAGGGATGCCATACTTCGCCCTGAACCTATCAATCTGTGCCTCGCCTGTCACCTTGTATTTCCCTGACCCCGAGGGACCAGCCGATGGATTCTCGGGAACAGGGCGACGACGAGGCATCTCTAAAAGAAAGGGAAGAAAAAGGTGTTCTCTATTGAAAACCCGAGGAAGTTCCCCGAGGGTTTAAATCGAGACGTGCCGACCGGATGACACCACTGTTCAAATCGGAAAACAAGAAGGCTAGGAGGACGATAAAGAAGAAGGTTGTGAAACTCACCAGAAGACGTCGGAAACGGAGTTTTTTCAGGAAAAATTTTGAAAAATGACTCGCACCGGAAGGACCAGGAGTCAACAATGGGTTTTTACTGGCTGAGGTTTTAAGAGAAGGTGCTGTCAACGATGGCTGAGAAAACAAAAACTCCGGCGAGCAGATCAGAAAGGGCGTATTCTGGGTCAGAGATCGGAATGGCAAAACGAAGGAAACCGGAGAAGAACCCCCTTTATATAGGGGGGAAAACTGTCATCATTGGGCGGGAGAACCAAAAACAGCGCATTTAATGCGCACGACATCCCAAGACGGGGAAAGCTGCTCGAGGCCATAATGAAGGACGGATGGCAGTTGGAAAACCCTTCGTCTCCTTACAACGCGTGTCCTCGGTGTCAGAAGATCGAAGGCTGGGGGGCAGTTGATGGGACTCTTCTGAAAAGCCCTAAGATGAAGACACGTGTCCTCGGGGGTATTTGGAACAGTGTTGCCCGGGATGTAAGCACCATCGGCGAAGAGCGTCCTTTACCCCGAGGTACCTCTCATATAGGATCACACATTCGGTATATTATACAACAAACACGTGTCCTCGGTCACACGTGTACCTCGGAAACATACCACCCTCGGTCCCCGAGGTAAGCTTTTCCTCGGTGCCGAGGGTCACTCCATGATGGACGCTTCCTCTACTTCCGGATAAAGCTACTGACGTACTGGACATCAGCCTATGCCAGTCTGGACTATTCATCATGACCTCGTCTTACACAAGTAATGTCAGAACGTTCTGGAATACCGACGTCACAGCCAATAAGGGACGGACGCGTGGCAAATAATGTCACATCAGAAGCAGACAAACCGCATGCCATTGCTGGCACGTGACTTGGGAAAGCAAACAATTAATTGCACCCTTCTGTTGACGAGACCGCATTCAATGCGGTAAGGTTCGGATATGAAAGGCAATAAATGCTCCTGTTACAGAGCATTTATTGCATCCTTCCCGAAAGGAGCATATTGTACCGTCGGCGTCCCGACAACTCACCATTGATTGTTCGGGACCCCGAGCAGTCAATTAGATGAGACATTCCTCATCAAATGATTACACACGCTACCTGTGCCTGATGATCACCTACTGACCACACTGACAGCAATCATGATCTTCTGAGGTATAAATACCCCTCCCAAAAGACAAAGCCGGTATGCAATCACAAACTCTCTACTAAAAAATATCTTTCTCAGTGTTTTCTCCTTCCTCTCTCTCTCTCTCATTCAAAGACTGACTAGATCGTCGGAGGGGATACGCCGAAAAACACTCCGGCGCCCTTCTAACTTGTTCTCTTTTGTCCCAGGAAATACCTTTCGCACGTACAGGATCGTTCCTCCTTTCCCAGGATCTTCCTTTACCGTTCCCGATTGCCACCGTTCCTGGTAGGCTGTTTCGAGCAGAGTGTTTGGCCATTCAACCGGCTCACCCAGAGTTCACCAGGGGAGAGATCTGTTCCCAATATTATATATATATCGTGCAGGATCGAGCCCGCACAAATATGTACTCGAGATTGTGATCCTTGAACACAATGAGCCGTCTGGTTGGAGGCTCGGGATTGATACATTGAATGGTGAATTTAGTTCTTTATTGCTTCATCTTCTTATATCATCAACGAAAGCTGCGATCTGTTTGGATTGAAACAGCAGGGATAAGTTATTGAGTTAGTTGGGTCTGGTGGAACCCATTATTCCTCGTTGGAGAAAACTTGGCCGTCCCATCATGGAGAACCCATTATTGCTCTCTCTCTCACTGAAACAATCTGTGGCGCACCACTACCACATCCACAAATAAAGGTATTGGAAACAAGCCCTACATCTCTCTCCCTCTCCCTTTGCTAGCCAAGAGTTTTCCACCATTCTTTTATGACATCCTTTGATATTTACAATAAACTTCCCAGAGGGTAAGTTAGTTAATATTGAAATATCATGGGCGACCATGGTGTTTTTGCAAAAATGGGGGAAGTTCATTGTAATTACTCCATTCGTTTTTTTCGGCTGCAAAGCAGTGATTAAGTATGCTAGGACAAGCAAGTTATTACCAAGGAGATGCATGTTCCAATTCAAATAATAATACAAGAGAAAGAAATCTTTTTTTTTTTTTTTTCCTTTTGAATTAGCAGCTACAAATCAGTATTCCTTCACCTATAATGATTTCATAACCCAATTCCCATAATTCAGGAATGCCAACCAAAACATCCCAACTACGCCTCATGTATAGAAACACGAGAGAAAGATTGCAAAAAAAAGAGAAGAAATGGGGGAGAAAGCCGGTAATTCCAAGTCCAAAATGGGGTAAAAAACATTTCAAAACTGAAGAAGTTCAGCACTCAAACATTATTTGTATAACAAGTTCAGTTGACCCTTCTCTCTATTGATTGCAACTAAATAATGACGGTGAGGGACAAATATAAATGTCTTCCAAAACTATAGTGAGGAGCCATAGCTTACTGGTCAATCGTCATCTGTTCCAAAGTATCGATCTCCAAACTCGCCCATGCCAGGGATAACACGGAAATCTTTATTTAAACCAATTTCAATTTCTGATGTCACGATCTTTATTCTAGGGAAGCTCTTGCAAACCACATGCACTCCTTGAGGTGCCTGATCAGAAGAGATATGTAAGAAAGGTGCATTAGGAATTCAAAGCAGCCAGTACTACCTAAAGGGCTAATTAACTTACAGATATGAGATTAAGGAATATGATGTTGGACTCCGGTACACCCTTCTTCAAAATCAAAGAAATAGCTTGAACAGCTGAATTTCCTGTGGTAATGGTTTACAGATTACGACATATAAGCGTGTGTATATAAGGCTTTTTTGACTTAAGCATCCTTATTTTCCACTTAGAACGTGCACACCTATTGCAACGATGCACATGTTTGTTTTTGTGCATAAAGACGTAGACCTGCATACTTAAAAGGAAAAAAAGCTGGAAAATAGAAATTTTTCGCCATGAAAAAAACAAACCTGTGCCTAGGATAGGATCCAACAATAAAACATGCCTATCTGAGATGTCTTGTGGCAGTTTTTCATAAATCAGCTGCACAGTAATTGGTAAGATGATCGAACATTCACAATGTAAAAACCAAATGTAGAACACCCCCGGCAACACACATGACCACAGGCTGGGGGGATGGGGAAGAGTGAAAGAGAGAAATTGGGGCATCCAAACCTGCTGACCATTGTCACCCTCTCTATGGATAAGAATCTTCCCAATCTTGATACCTTTACAACAAGCTCGCAAAGCATTCTCCATGCTCTCGCCACTGCAAACAGTTATCCATTGTCTATATGTTAAAGGTCTTGAAATACATAACTATGATGGCCAAAAGGAGAGTGGAAAAAAGGGTTACCCATAGATTTGATTTATTCACATGAAGCAACTATCATTATCTATTTGGATGAAATTAATTCATGTGATTGTACCAATTGCTGACAATAACTAAAATCCAGCGACAAACATGAGAGACATATGTACAGGAAAGTCTGAGCAGTATCTGCATTTGAGAGGTATCTGAAACCCAGGGATGCACTTATACATATATTTTTTCTGTATCTCGGCTTTGATAATATTGGCATGCATATTTCGCAATTGAAAAGGGATAAAACTTCACACCCAAGCATTGAGTCCAGTTTGTATATATACCTTCTAATTACAGAGACACCACATAACCTCTTACAGAAATCCACACCAGTGTAGACTGATTCTGCATTTCCACAACGAAAAATGTCGTGAAAGTGACAACTACCAACTAGAAATAAATAAGCAAAGAGTGAGGTAACAAAGACAGCATCACCAAGGATGAACACTGCCCACAAAAAGAAGCATCTCAAAAACAGTTTCAGTTCTTTCTTTGAAGGGTGGTGTCATCACGTAGGAACATAATTTGGCAACTAAAATCAAGTAGTATCTAGACAAATTCAAAACTTACTTATGTTGCTAGGTTCACCTGACATATCTCCCAACACTGATTCCCCAAATATATAACTTACTGTACAACTCAAGCAAGGAAACTTGATAGTTTCATATTAACCCACAAGGCACAGTCTAAAAGTAAGAACAGCAAAGCACAACAGGAAAGTAGGGTGGGAAGCCGAAGCCAAAGCCAGACCACAAAAGAGGTCCTCTTTAGATATCACCATTCCAAGAACTGTAAATAACCATACTTTCAGCAACCTCACAGGGTAAAAGAGACCCCTAAAGAACTCAATTTTTTTGTCCCTCCCTTTGTCAAATACTATAGTATAAGTTCTAACATTAGCTATTCAGTAGGTCAACTAAAAGCCACTCAGAAACGGAAATCAAATTCAGAATATATCTTAAAAGAGCATGATGACACGAACTGATCAGTCCAATGTTCGCCATCCACTTTGAGTCTGGTTCACTCAAAAGATGGAACAACTGCAAAGGACTAACTACTGTTGGGCCTCCTGATATAGCAAGAATTGCTGCCTTTGCAGCATAGATATCGCCTAGTCCCAACCCGACAGTAACGAAGACCATGCCACAACCAAATCAAAGCATGATACAACATAAATAGACTCCTTTGGGTATATTATGAAAGAGACTTGAGGCTCTATAGCACTCCTAAGAAGTCACTCTTTCCATGTAAGAGCCAATAATGCATAAGAGAATTGATGGAGATTACAAGTTGTTGCTACATATGCAGAGCATATGTTATTTTAAATGTTTAAGACCAAGGAACCAATTATAACTGTTGTGATACCAATGAAGACCAAAGCACAAAATTAGTTTAGGAATAAACATTTGTAAGACACACACATAAAAGCATATTAATATATATACAAAAAAGGGTGGCCCAAAGCTTCCGCCACTACGGGTCTGAAGAGGGTCAAACATATGCAACTTTACACCCCATGCGAAAAGGCTATTTCCGTGACTAAAACCCGGGAGGCCCAGGTCACACTGGAGCAACTTTGCTGCCACACCAAGACTCACCCTCACATAAAGGCATATGTATACATATATCTTTATTTGATATGCAATTCAAGATATGTTTAACACATACAAGGGCATAAAATATACCTTCTTTTGTGGTACAAATATGTCCTATTGACATGATAGGATAGGAAAATTTTATTTAAGTTCACTTCCTTGGGTGGACAATTGGTGACATGCAAACTAAAAATTCCATTCTGTACTAATGGCAGAATATGATGACCTAAAATCCATAAAGATGGAGAAGAAAGAACTTAAAAGATCTGGAATATAGAAATCTTGAGGGAGAGCGGCCTACCAGTTGGAGTGATCACCTGCTTTTCAGTAAAAGGTAGATGTCCCAGGCCATGCTCAACAACCTAATTAAGAAGGATGGTGTATACCTGATGAGTAATTGTATTATTCCTCCCATCCCACAACAAAACTAAAAGTTTGCAAATAAAACTAGCTCACACCAACAAATACCGACCAAACGGATCAGCCGATCGGCATAAAAGACAAAATCATGTTTCGTTGTTTGAGCATCGCGTATAAGTGTATGCATGCCACGTATCTGATGAAACAAAAAACTATCAAAGGGAGCTGATAAAAAAAAACTAAACCCATGAGAACATGACAAGATGACTCTTTACTGAAATGAAAACATAGAACTCCGGAAATTTATCCTCAGGAAACAAGATGAAGAAAAAGTGAATTACCTAATAAGAAATTGTACCTGAAAAGTCGATTGAATGACAAAAAAATTAGGATATATTTTACAAAGATCATGTTGACCAAGCTTTGTCCGAATATGCTGAACAATCAGATCAATTGCTACATGATTGTCTCCTCCACGGGGAATGATAATATCAGCATACTTCTTTGTTGGAAGAATAAAGTCATCAAAAGCGGGCTTCACAAATTTTGAGTACTGCAACAAGATTTAAGTTTTCCAAAATTAATAAATGAAAGTGAATAACTAAATTATAACTTCAACAATTGGGGAACATCAACACAGAACAAGGCAGAGAAACGTACAAAACTCAGAAAGAACTTTGAATTCATCCACATACAGTGTAGCAAAAGGTAAGGTAAAAAAAAATATAATATGTGATTGATAATGGAAACTCAATGAATTGGCATATTGTTACATCCTTATTGATGAAAAGGTATCAAATCAAGAACAAACTTCGGCAGAGTAAATCATATAATCTCACCAGGCTTCAGTAACTCACACCAACCTCCATGCCTAGCAATCCACTTAACCTTAATTGGCTTTACAATTTAGTTATGCAGCAAGAAATAATTCGCTGCTCAACATTTCTAAGACTTGCAACCTCCATACAGCGATTTTTTTTTTAAATCCCTGAGTGGGATGTGTTCCTACTTCCTACAACTTCAGGATAGATGCCACGTCAAGAAATTGTTTCATAGGAGAAATAAAAGTATATTCGATACTCCATCACCCTTCTCCGCCGACAAAATGGGAACAGAATATAGTTTCTTCTGGTTGTATTTCTTCTTAAGATACATTGTGCCATTGCACTTCAAATATCCTGACACTGAATCACATTTACCCAATAAAAAGAATAAATCAAAATTTACAGGCAGCTAAAATCCTACACAATCACTTGCAGCTCAATGTTGCTTTCCCAAGAAATGGAAACATATATAATTGCAAGAATTCTGAGTTCCAACTGCCAATTGGATATTTGGTAAATCACAATTTTTTTTTTCTACTGGAGGGCAGCCAGCAGATCAGAATGTAGAAATTGTGGAAATCACCACTCCATCCCTTTTTGAAGTGTAGGTAAACTCAAAGGATATAAAGTTAAATTCACGGTTTTGCTCACAGGCTTCATTTCCATCTCCCTACCAATTCAAGTTGTGGTCCACTAGACTTACTAAGCTTCTTATAAGAGCTACACAAATTTCTAGTTAGTGCGAATACTACCCAATAACTCGGAACCAATCATGTAAAGACTTTTGGGAGAGAGTTGACCCTATTTAATATAATCACCCAAGAAGCCACTCTACTAATATGTGGGGACAGAAAAACCAGTGGATTCTATTTCAGTTGGCCAGTATCCATATTCAGTTTATCCACAATTCAGCACATTTTCTACAAGCCGAATAAAAAGCATGACACCTTGATAGGTATCAACATAAACAAGAGAACAGCCAAAGTATTGGTTACTTGCCGGATTATATTCCACCGAGGATTGGTTAAAGTTATAATGATGAATAAAGTTGGCTTTGTTCATATAACACTTCATATCTATATATAGTCAACAATCACTACTTATCTGAATCATGAAGCTGTATGCAATAAGAGAAGACAGTCTCTTTAAACAGAAAATAATTGCAAACAACATATAAAAGGTTTGTTCCTATTTCCATTGAAAATTAGAGCCATCATTTTCCTAACCTGATCAAGCACCATACCAATATCTCTACCCTTTTCACCTGTATCACGCCTTATTCTCCTTGCCAGACGTACATCAGCATCTGCACTGATGTTCAATGCTAAATATCCAGGGGAAAATAAAATCTAAACTGTAAAAAAGGCAATAAGAACACCCAATTCGTCTTGGCTGTAATTTAAATAAATTGAAATGCACAATTTATGCCCACATAGTGCACCTGCCAGCAGATATATGATAAACCTATCAAACAACAAAGACCAAGCATCCAATCATATAAAAGCAAAGAAACTAACCCGTGTCAACAAATATCTTCATTTTCATCAGATCTCGTACACGAGGATCATGGAAAATGAGTATGCCTTCCAAAATTATCACATCCGAAGGATTAACCTGGCAAACATTTCATATCAACCAGGTTTGTGATGCAAATGACTAGAAGTAAAAGACAGAAAAATGAAATTTCAATCAGTTATAGATTAAGGATGGTAGCTAAAGGGCCTGAGAACACATCACGGAAGGACACTAATTGTGCATAATAGAGGTTTATGACAGGGTCATGAAGTTAGTTGGCTGGCACATACTGAGACTCTGCCAATTCATGACCATTTTTTTTTTTTTTGGACAGGCCAATTCATGACCATAAAACCATAAAAATACAGAAACAAAAAGCAAAAATAAAAAGAAACAAGATTGTCTTTACATCAATTCAGAAGTTTTTTTATGAGTCCATTTTAAAAAATTTCAAAATTACCCTTCTAGTTGGGAAGATGTTGCTTTTGTAACTCTTGAAGTCATATTTTGGAATATCTACTGCTTGCCCATGCTTCAACTTCTCCATAGCACACAATAATTGCTCAGTGTCAAAAGCATCTGAAGAAATAGCAACATTATGAATTAAAATGAAGCACTGAAATCAGCATGAAAACAGAACCATGCAAAATGCAGCTGAGAGTACCAAAGTTAAGTCACATTGCCCACCCCTACAAAGCAGCCAACACTCACATAAATTACATAAAGAAATTATTAACATGCTTTTTGTAACAGTCACACACAATAAAATACTAGAAATCCAAAAACCGAATATCAAGCAACTAAAACAAAATAGATCTTTAAGCTTTAAGATGTTAAATGTAAAGAGGTAATATAAATATCTTATCTACTTGCATAGCCTAGAAAAGAATCATCCAACAGAGCAACCTCTCTATGCGAAATTACATTATCATATATTTAACCAATTTGACAAGAGCTGTATTGAAATAGAACTGATTTGGCATAAGAAAAAAAAAGTGTTACAAACTAGAAAAATAAAATGGACAAGCATTCGCACAGAGAAGTTTGGTGGGCAGCAGCAAGCACAACTGGAAAATAGTCAAACTTTCCCAAAAAACACTTGATTCAGAAAACACCAAAAGGAATGTAGGAGCCATGGCTTTTACAATATGTGGCAACTTGTTTATGAATGGTATAATGACAGCTATATTTAGCGATCTAGATGCATAATTTCTCAAGTTCAGACTTCCTGGGTGCAACAGAAACCACTTGTCTTGGTTACAATTAAGAAGAAACTCAATCATAAACTAACAAATTTAAGACTAAACAGCATCGGAAAAAATTCCACAAGTAACAACAAATTCAAGATAAAACTCACCAGGATGGTCAAAGTTGTATTCATGAACTCTTGTAAGCTCCTCTGGAGTTAAATTGTGATAAAAAGAATCCTGCCAACACATCACTCTTAAGATATCTATGTTCTAGAGAAATAGATCACCCAGTTTACAAGATCAATAGATAGTATAAAGCCTTTGCAAAGCTTGGCAGGCACTGAAGCAAACGTGGAGCAGATGTTTTATTTTATGAACTTTTCTCCATCCTTTCTTTTCTACGTATTTCTTTTTGGCACATTTTGAATCTACTTTTCTAACATTAAATATAACTAAATTGAACTTAGACTTGAACACAACTACAAATTCAAATTGTCAAGCAAACTATGCAAATCAAATATCGTAAACAAAATAACTACTGAGCAATCAAATTCCACATATAAAATACACAAATGATGAAACATAATTTTCAAATTGTTCATATTCAATATTGTGGCATATATGCTTCTGTTTTACATTAAAAGGCAAAAACTTAAGAAGACATGCATGCAAAATTAGTAAAAATTGCCTACCATATCATATTGTGGAAAGAAGATGAAGAAGTACAGAGAGTTGAAGAGAAGATATAAATAACATGGCAAACTCCACCATAAATTAATCCTGATGATGATGATGAAGGATTACAAAGACGGTAAATAACCAGAAGACAAAACAATTATGATGATGAAGAAGAAGAAATAGTACTTTTTGGACACACAACTTTCAGTTTAACAAAAAAACAAAGTTCTATTCTCTAGGTGAAGGGAAAAAAACCTGGTTAACAAGTACAACACGCTGATCATGAAGCTGCTCGATGATCATATCACAAACTGTAGTCTTCCCTGAAGCTGCACCTCCTGCAACGCCTGCCCACAGAATGTTTATTTGAAACATCAGAAAGCATTAGTCATAACAGGATGCATATTCCACCCAAAAAAAATTCTACTCGTGATGCAAGTAAACATGTTACAACAATGAACTGGACAATTTCTTGAAAATACACAAAGAAAAAATTATACTCAAAACAATTACCTAATGACCTCACCTCTGATATGATTATTGCAATAATGAGAACCACCAACGAGAATATACAAGTATACGAAAGATAAGGTCTCCGACTTCGACACATACCAATGACAAACGGTTGCTTGTGCAAATGGTCAGTTGCTGAGGTGGTTGGTTGCTCCACCTCTGAATTTCTTGACTCCAATCCATTCAAGTGAAATCCAGAAAGATGCACCCGTGATGAAGCCTCTATCAGATCTTCAACTGGATTAGAACCCATGAGCTGAGCCCCCAAAACTGCAAAGTTAACGAGTAAGAATCAAGTGGGATAATAAAATGGAATAAAATTCAGTAATACTAGCAACAATAAGAATGACAATAATTGCAGCATGTTTTCGCCCTATGGAGTTTGGATGAAAATTAGGTCACACTTAAATATGAATAAATGCAATTGCACACCACTTGAAAATAATGATAGTTAAACCTGAGATGAAGATATAGGCATGGAAAGTACCGACCTTTTATCCATTTTATATTAGAAATAACTTACAGCAAAGAATAACTTTCTAGCAGAAGTTGACAAGGAAAAAAAACAACATATTTTCTCTTGAAAATTAAGTAGCTAAATTTAACTTACTTGCCTAGTTTCCAACCTGTTATTTCATTCTCAAGCATAGCATAGCAAAGCATAGCTCATTGGTATTGCTATGATCTAAAAATGGATTGTCCGTATTGCAGGATCACTGAGAAGAAATCATCACTCCTAATTATTCTTAGGAAGATCCAAAATTCCTGAACTATATTTTATCATTCCTAGGACATAACAAACACGCCAATCAATGCAGATTTATCAACTTAGTAACTACATCGTTGATGAGTTTAAGGGACAGTGCTTGATTTTTATTTTGATAGGAAAGGGATACAACACCAAATTTAGGACATCTGCTCATGATGAAAAAGGAAAGACAGGACCACTCCTTCCCAACAGCCGGTGCTATCCTTAAATTCTATTTACATCCTTGCTTGATCACTTAAATTTCAGAATCATTTCACCTATGAATCGCCCAATTTGTATCACTTCCCGTCCCGGAATACAATTGCAAGTTGAACGGACTCATTGGCACGACAATCCTACTATGATGTTTTAAATAGTAATATTCCGACAGATTCTACAAAAACAAAAACAAAAATTTCCTATGAAGCTCACCGATCACAATCATCATCCTCCAATGCACACTTAACGAAACAGAGGTATAGTTATTTCTTTTAAAAAATGTGGCTTTGCTCAACACCTCGGATTGCTAAATATAACGAAAACATTAATTTCATTATGTTGGCATTCAGGCACGCCTCACTGAGAACAATCACAATCAAATTTCGCACATTAACCCCATTTCTTCTTGAATCCTCGGATACATTGGCTGCTAACGTCCGACAGAATCGAAACGCCCAATCTTTTTGCATATTCTTACAGGACAACAATCAGTAACCATGCACAGAGGTCCAATAGAATGAACGATCAGTAGTCACTCACGTCATCATAGAATTAGAGCCTAGAATTAACTAAAAGGTTTTAGATTCGGCTCGTATCGTATTCAATTACAGATCAATGAATACAAACGTAACGTGAATCTACCACGATTCGCCACAGATTCATCAATGCTAGATTCCTGAATATACCTTACAACTCGAACTGAGATTCAGAGATTGTAGACACAGACACAGTTCTTCCGACGCAAGCTTCCGAGGCCCAGCTTATACTGATATTTGTGTGAGTGTTAGAGAGAGAGAGAGAGAGAGAGAGAGAGAGAGAGAGAGAGAGAGAGCAGACTTTCACATGCCTTGACACGGACACTGGAACACATGACGAACTTATACGAGGAGAGAGGCTTTGCACAGAGGTCTAGGTTTGTATTATGGGCTCGAATTTTGTTGAAATTACGGAGTAGGTACCTAAGTTTTCATCTCATTTTACACCCCGAAAAATTTTAGGATTTTCCATATTGCACTCATAGTGATTAAATTTCTCATATTTGATCGCAATGCAGCCCTTTCGTTGCTTATTCCATTAGAAATCACCTTCATGACGCTAACGAAATGAGTAACTAACTAACGAAAAAATGGCATTATAACACTTTTCTTACATTGAAGGTATAATATAAAAAATTTAATTTTTGAGAATATAAAGTAAAATTTTTAAATTTTTTGGAATGCAAAATAAAATTCAAAAAAAAATATTTAGACTTCATTATTCATACTTATTAAATTAATAATGGATCCTAATATTCATTGAGATTCGTTACTAATCTAATAGTTGCAATGAATTATGTAAGTAAATTAGATCAAAAATTTGTTATTGAGAAAGAAATAAAAATTTTAGTGCTCTGATTAGGGCTGATAATTGAACCGAATTATTTGGACTCGGCTCGGATAGGACTCAACTCTAAACGATTCAAATTTGAACTTTTTTTAGACTCATGTAAAAAACGAGCCTCAAAAGGCTCGACTTAAGCTCTCAAAACTCTACTCGATTATATATAAAATAATCGAGCTACTCGAGCTCGGCTTTAGTTCGATTTATTTTAGATTCGGTCCAGACTCAGCTCATTTTCTAAACGAGTTAAAACTTGAATAATTTTTTTGACTTGTTTAAAAAAACAAACTTGGCAAACTCGATTCGATTATCAATCTGGTAGTCTTAAGCTTTTTATTTTATTTGTTTGTTATTATTAATCATAAAAATGATAAATTATTTAAAAATAAATTAATAAGACTATAGTCTGATCTAAACAAAGGGTAAGGAAAACAGATTAAGGATCCAAGTCAGCACCGATTCGGATGTGGGGTCAAGCTAACTGACAATTTCGAGAAAGGACTGGCATTGGGTGCGATTTAATAATAATTATCGGTTGTGGGGTCAATTTTATATACGATGATTTTACGTTCCTAATTGGTGGGCCCATTCAAGTTTGGACGGTGAATTTAAAAAAAAAAAAAAGGATTTTAGCGTTATTGCAAGTTGCCGACTGAAACTAAAAGGGTAATTTCACACAAACCCTCTAACTTTATTTTAATTACATACTCATCCCTTGCATTTATTAATAACACGACTTTTCGTATTGATTTTGATTTTAATTACATACTCATCCCTTTACTTAGCCTCATGGTGAGGTTTGGAAATCTACTATTCGTTAGGGAAACAAAGTGAGATCCACTAATACTAGGTTTGTCAATCGAATCAACTAAGGTGAATTTATGTTGAATTTTAATGAATTTGAATCAAAAAGTATTCAACTCATACTCGATTTTTTATTAATTTGTATTTAACGAATCGTGTAATTTTGAGTTTGTGTCATATATAAGTCGTATGTCATTGGTAAATAAATGAATTTTATCATATATTTATTTTGATTGACTTCACAAATACCCAATTCATTTATATGTCATGTCGTATCGGGTCCACTCGTTTACGAAACAAGTGATTTAAATAAGACATGAACCCTCTAATTTTGTGTTATATCATACTTTAATACCTCTACCTAATATTTAACTTTAAACACTTCTTTTTAACCAATCCATACATTGTTGTATCCAAATTCAAACATCAAACCTCCTAGTTAGGAGGTGAGCTCCTAATCATTCACACTCTACCTTGTTTAGGAGGTGACACCCTAATCATCCACACTAACTTGGTTGTGTTGATTACATCATTGTACGCTGGTAAATCAAATCACACCCCTCAAATTTTTGGGAAGATTGCTTAAACATATTCCCCAAGTCCCAGCCTTAGGAGACACTTACACCTTTTCTTTCAACATTGAGATCTGCTGGATTTTTCCATTTGGTGAGTAACAAGAGGGGAAGTGGGATCATATTGATATGACCTCTCACTTAGTGATTGGAGTTTTACTTTTACATAATGGGTTGAACTTAAATTTATAGCAAGCGAGGTACTAAAAAAATAAAAAAATAGTATAAGAGATCGCAAGGATGATGAGCCACTCTCAACAATAAACTGTTCCGTTGTGGGAGCAAGGGATCGTGGAAAGGTTTTTTTTTTACAACGACGATTGATTGATTATGTTAAGGATTTAACTGAGAATTTCAAAACTCTTAAGATTACTTGAAACAAGTTGATTCAATTTTTAACATGATTAAAATGTTTCATCACACTTTCGTAGTTGATGTTCTAGCAAATTAATCTATCCATTCATAATACGAAACATTTTAATCTAGCCAATGAATTATTACGGATACTAATTGTTAAGAAAACAGTCTTTGTAATTAAGTTCATGGAACCCTCTTTTGTTGGGGCTAAAGTTCATTGAACTATGCAAGAAAGTTATTTGCATATTGCTGCTAGGCTGTTTAAGTTATTAACATCGATGATACCTAGGAAAAATTTTAAAATTGAGCTCGGGAATTGAAGTCAAAAAGGAAGTTCAGCCAAGAGAGCTTGAGTTCAGAGGTCCAGACTTTGGACTCCCTTGACTTGCACCCCGAAAGAAATTAGTGGAAGACAGATAGAAACCACAAAAGCACTCCCTCAACAGAAGTAAACGGCAGTTAAGGAGCAAGATCCTCAATCACCTAAACCACTGTCTGGAATCAAGTGAGATGTTATAAGAAGGAGGCAAAGATCTCGCCCCAAATCCCATGGAATTAGAAACTATGCTATAAATATTGTACAATGTCCTCACTTCAAGAGGCGAAGGAAAAAAAATATCAAGGATACTCTGTAATCTTTTAATAATTATCAATACAGTTTCAAGAAGTAAGAGAATCTATTGAAGAGTGAACTAGTTGAACTCTCGAGCTAGGTGAATTACTATAACTCTTCTGCGCAATTCATCCCTTATCTTTGAATTACCAAATTACCCTCACGAGCGTTGTAGCTCAGATCAAATCCTCCGATTATATTGATATATATTCTTCTCAAACTCGTTTTACACACTATCAAACATGAACAAAAACGTGTGGATATTAGGGACACAAGTGAAGTGGGTCTGATGATGGTGAGGCTTGTGGCCAGTTATTATAGTGAAATTTTGTCTTGTAAAACGTGCTCGTTTGGTACGATAGATGAAAAAAATAAAAAAATAAAAAATAGAAGTGATATATTTTTCATCTTTTTTACTTTTTTTTTGTGTGTTTGATAAGATGGAAAAAATATATTTTTTTTTAATTTTTAATTAGAAAAAATATAAATTCATATTTATTAATGTATACATAATATATAATTAATAAATATGATATACGTATATATATCAAAATATATATAGACAAATAGTATACATTTCAACACACATAATTAACTTTCCATTTATTTTTCCTCATAACTTTGGAGGGATTGATTTTGGTAAATTGAACGGAAAGTTAATCTATTTACTTTTTCATTTTTCATATTTTTCTTCCTTACTAAACATGATATTTTATCAATCCCTCTAACTTTTTATCGTTCCATTTTTTCACCGTATCAAACGAAGCATTAAAGGTAATTTAGTGGTTGAGCGCCTTTGGTGATTCGAAAGTCCCAAATTCAATCCCTTCTAGCACTCTCCACCCTTGTTCTTTTAGGGACATGATTTAACTCAGTTCAAGCCATGACGACAATCATTGAGTTTGATAGAGTAGTTGATGCAAGTTTAAATACTCTCTAATAAAAAAAAAATTCTTTTTTTGTGGGTTTTTATGAGATTTGATAATTTTAGGTATGATTTGAAAATCATACAAGAAATTAATATTATTAGTGGATTTGAGTTCTCGCTTTTAACAAATTTGGATAGTAAATGAGTATTCTCATATCATATTAATAAAAGGGTTGATTGAATCTAGCTAAACATAGAAAAATTTTGGCTAAATACGACATATGCATTATACGAGTTTGATACAATACGAATTTGACTATATATAATTTATAATATTAATGCTACTTGTACCTAATTAAAAAGATTAGTTTGTTGTGGTCATTAGATTTATAGTAAATTTTAGTTAATATTGTGATTCAATGTTAATTCAACAATCATAATAGATCATATACTAAAATTAGATCTCCATGTCATTATTCATTCTAAAACTATATATGACACCAACATTTCCCATACTAGTCTCCAACCTAGGCAAGAGCATACTTGATGGCAGAGAGAAATTGCGTTGCTTATGAATCAAATTTCTGTTATATTATCATTTAGAGAGTGTTGCACTTACCAACCTCTCAAAACATGTAATGGTTAATTAGGACTTGCATAATTGATAGAGAATCGAACTCGAACCCACACCTAAAGCCTAAATACAACTAATCCAATCAACGGAGGTCCATTCGATTGACCAAACTATATTGATGCCGAAGATATTGTCCTCAAGGAGTTACCAAATTTTAAATTGAATATATTATTTAGACCTAAAAATTTGACTCCTCTATATATCCACTCGAGCTACGTTGGATTAATTTCTATCATATTCATAAGCGATGAGACAAGGTCATGCAGAAAAAGATACCTCCCAGTCCTGGTCGTAGTTCTCTGGGCCAAAAACACAAACGTTGGCCCTCTCACCCTGTCGGAAATGACAGGAATAACCTTAACTAAATGCCCCTGGATGGTAGTTGTTCCATCATCAATGGTTGCTGCGATGTCCTTTCCTTTTACACTCAACGTGGTTTCTCAAGTGGGTTTTCGTAAAAATCTATGGATGTTTAAACATGCTTATCACATGCTTTGGTCCTGTTAACAGTTGTGGCTTCTTATTAGAATTGTCAATAAGTTGCGTCTCGGTTGGATCTTATCTAAATCGTGCCGTGTTAAATTTATAGACTCGAAATCCGATCCACTTATAATCTCGTATATAATTGAGTACGTGAATTCATATTGTCTGTTTAATAAGTTTTGTATCATATTTAGTAAGGTTCGTGTTGACTTATTTATTCGATGGTTCTAACGGAGCGACAATTTTTTCATATAAACCCGCTAAGACCTAAATTTAAATCTCTTAATTTCATGTTCATTTCGTATTGTAATTAGGTCCCACTTTGGGGTCCTAATTAGAGATTGCCTCAGTAACATATTGGAGTAATCTAATTGAGTGGGCTCTGATATGAAAATAATAGCCCATTTTAAAAAAAATACACCTTGTAGGGATGTAATTTCGCAAGTCTCTACGAAACTCAACATAATACAAATTTAAAAATAATACAAAACATTAATGACAATAAACGCGAGTTTTTCCATTTTTTTTTTCAAGCAGCTTAGCAGTAATTCTTTTTATTTAAAAGAAAAAAAGAAAAAAAAAATAGGGCTAAACAACCGTCCCAATTATTGGACAATTGGATTTTAAGATCGTGAGTTCGAATCTCACCACTTCCTCTCTATAATAGTATCTTACCCAACCCAACCTAACCCAAAAAAAAATATATTTGCTAAGATTAAAAAATATATTTTTTTTTAATTTTTTTAAAAGGTATAAATACATATTCTATCATTGAATTTGTATATATCAAATGATATATAAACAAAATATATTTTAATTCAAATAAAAAATTAAAAAAAAAATTTATTCTTTCATTTTTTTTCTCATACCAAAAAGCAACATTACTATAAAGTCCCTAGTCATCTTGGATTTGCCGCTCTGTTTGTTAGGGTTTTGTGATTCGTCCCAGAAAGTAGAAATTGAGAGGAAAAAAAAAAAAGGTTTCTTTGCCGGAAATTCAACGTATCTATAACTGCAATGGAGCTTCAGCGTCGAGTCCTTTGATTCCCTGGTGAGTGTTCCTTACAGTCCCCTCCAACTTTCCTTTTTCATCCTCTGTGTGTTTCCTGGGAATCTGACAAAAGTCAGAAGAAATCGTGAATTCAATTCTATTTTTTCTTTTCTCGTTTCTTATGTTTCTTGGCAGTTGGCAACATATGGAGGGTATAGCTTTGATTTTTGTTCAAACCACCAAATAAAACTCTATCACTTTTTTGGATAAATTTTATATTTATGTTACAAAGATATAATAATATCTTATTTTGATTCATAGGGTGGGTGAAGAATAACGGTGTTATTAGATGTTGGAAAGGTAGAGATTGCAGTTTTTGTAGTTGGGAAGTTAACGTTGATCAAAGTTAGAAAGATTTAATTTGTTATATTATGGAAATGTTGCCAATTTGTAAGGATCATCTTGTTTCCTTCCTATTCGCATGACTTGTCCCACTGTGTTGGATTTTGTTGGCGGTAGCTATTACTCCTCCTTTCGACTCACTCGCTTTATTTTCATTGAATTCATCATCTGGATCTCGTCGCCTTTGCATGTGCAATATTGTTGTAACATTGTTCTAGGATGTAATATATCCATCTTGGTGCGAAATTTTGTCCAAGATTAGTATGCTTTACAAGTTTTTTCATAGCTTGAAGGTTTCTCTTAGACATCACATGGACATGTGATGTGAGCAGCGTGGGACCATGTGAACGCACTGCTGGAAAATTTGGCACTATGTGGACAGAGAGAGAATCTCATTTCCTTCCAAGATATAAGTCCAAAACCACCAATCATTGCTCCAGCTTCTACATACCCTATCCTTACAATCTCTCAATCCCAAGATATAGACAGTTAAACAATCCATGTTTCACTACATGATACTGCTGCCACCTGTATTGGCAGTCATCAAAGAAATTTCAAGCAACCCCTCCCCCCCCCCGGGGGGTTTTTTCAAGCTTCATTGCCTCAGAAACTACTATTATTATTACAAATTTTTCACTTGGGTCAAAACTATGTTAATACATTAGCTACTTTAATCTACAACCACCAGATTGACTTCAAAATTCACTCTTTTTACTGGAATCAATACTATCTCTGCACTGGTCTAGTGAATTCTCCTGTGGAATATGCACAAATGCACAACATAACTTTGATGTCTCATTGAAAACTTGGTCAAATTGAATCATCAGAGAATGCAAACGAGCAATAAGAGGATCCCTGGGAAACCGCATTTCTAGTGGGCAGTGATGGGGGAAGAGCTGACAATCCTCCCTTTGACAAGTCTGGCTCCAACCTTATAGGATCGACGTGTCGGATTTCTTTTAGCATGGCCACAACGTCCTTCATCATGGGACGATCATAAGAGCGTGGGCTCACGCAGAGGAATGAAACAGCTAGTGTTTGCAGCATCTCATGCATCTGAGGGTCAGCCCTCCCTCTTAGCTTAGGATCAAGAATGTCAACTGGATCTCTCTTACTGTGCAAATGGTTGCGAACCCACTGGACCAAATGTGCACCTCCTGGCAATGTTGGGTCCAACGGATGCCTTCCTGTCAGGACTTCCAAAAGGACCACACCATAACTGTACACATCGCTCTTTTCTGTGATGTGTTGCATTGAAGCATGTTCTGTCAAAACATAAAGCAAATTATGATTTCTGCAATCTTTTATATTATATTTCATAATTTTTTGAACTAATCAAGCTGATATAATGAGTTGGAATAATTACCAGGAGCCATGTATCCGTAGGAACCAGCAAGGTGAGGCCTCGGACTCTGGTTTGACAAAGCATCTTCACTGCTGCCATTGACAAGCCTTGCCAGCCCAAAGTCAGCAAGGTAAGGTTCTAAGTGAGGACCCAACAACACGTTCATGGCTTTGACATCCCCGTGCATGATAGCAGGCACACAATCATGGTGCAAATACGCAAGCGCATTCGCCACACCGAGTACAACATCATATCTAGCCTCCCATTCTGCTCCTCCCTTCCCGACACCATGAAGGAGTGAACTCAAGCTTCCATTAGGAAGGTAGTCATAGAAAAGCAGTTTCAAAGTCTGGTTCGAACCCCATCCCAAAAGGCGAACAATGTTTTTGTGTCGGATTGAACCCAAAGTCTGAATTTCTGAGCTGAATGCTCCGGATTCTTCTGATGACCACATTTTTTTCACAGCTAGTGTTTCCCGATTCGGAATTGTCACCCTGTATACAACTCCAGAGCTTCCAGTGCCGATCACGTTAGCTGACGTTAGATTGCGGACTATGTCATCAATGGAGAACTCCATTTTCTGATAAAATGTCATTTCCCAAGTGTGACCTTCCGTAGACCTTCTATTAGCCAAATGGGTCCTTACTAACATGTAAAGGGCTAGAAGTACCAGTACTGCGCTTGCACTAACGAGGATTGGCATTGCTAACTTCATTGTTGATTTGGAATGAGAAGGTCCGATTCTGTCTGCCGGAGTTACAACCCCACCGGAGATGTATAGAGCTTGGTTACCGGCAAGGTCACTAAGAGGGAGCTTACGGAAGAATGGGGTATTAGGCAGATCACCAGAAAAATCGTTGGAGGACACATTGAGGGAGACAAGGTTTTGAAGGCTTGCAAGAATGTCTAAGTTCCCCGTAAGCAAATTGTGGGAGAGGTCAAGGATTCCTAATTTGCTAAGCCCAGAGAACTCAGTTGGGATCTCACCACTAAATTGGTTACAACTGAGGTTGAGAGAGATTTCCAGTGATGGAATTTGACCCAATTCTTTGGGTATAACACCCGAGAAACCATTGTTTCCGAGATCTAGCAATTGCAGCTTACTGCAGGAGAGAATTTCTGATGGAATTATGCCAGAAAGTTGATTCTTTCCAAGATTAAGTTTGGTTAATTCTGTTAATGAACCAACACTCGGAGCCAATGGACCGGCAAGTCTATTGTCTGAAATATCCAAAAACTGTAGGCTTATGGGCAGTGTATCAGGCACAGAACCAGAGAGTCCATTTGAATGGAGATCGAGAAACTCGAGGCTTATGCATCCAGATATTGAGCGAGGAATTCCTCCTGCGAATTGGTTGTTGCTCATGTCAATGAAATTCAGACTTCTCAAATTTCCAATCTCCGATGCAATAGTACCTGTCAACCTATTGTCATTCACTCGGAACCTATACAAGCTTGTACAGTTCCCAATTTCAGGCGGTAGAAAACCCGACAAATCATTGGACAGAAGAAGCAGTTTAGTTAGATTTTTCAGAGCAAAAATCTGTTTTGGTATTGAACCAGTGAGATTGTTGTAAGAAAGATCAAGAGCCTGAAGACTCTCGCACTCAGATAATGATTCTGGAATATTGCCTGTTAGCTTATTCTGCCAGGCAAAGAACAGAGTCAAGCTCTTTAATTTGCCTAGCAGAACAGGAATCTCTCCTGCAATATCATTATTGTCGACTTCCAAATGAGTAAGAGCTGTGCAGTTTGAGATTTCAAAAGGTATGGTACCTGACAACTGATTGACACTCAGCTGAAGCTCTTGAAGCCCCAAAAGGCCTCCAAAACTTGTGGGTATGCTGCCTGTCAGCAGGTTCTCTGATAAATCAATGACTGTGAGCTCTATGCAGCTTCCAAGCTCATAAGGAATGGTGCCAACTATGCTGTTCTGCCATAACAGCAGACTCTGCAGTTTTTTGAGCTCCCCTATACGAGTTGGGATTGGACCAGAGATTGAATTCTCATACAAATAGAGGTTCTGCAACTCACTGCAATTCCCAATCTCTTCAGGGACGGGACCTGTCAATAGAGATGTATAAATGGCTATGGTTTGAATCCTTCTCAACTTTCCGATTGACAAAGGAAGATTTCCGGAAATGCTGGTTTCTGCGAGGCCTAGAATGATCAAGTTGGTGCAGTTTCCAATCTCCCATGGCAGCTCACCTTTAAGATTCTGATTTCCACCAGCTCGGAAGATTTCAAGATTGCTCAATTGTCCTATGCTCTTCGGAATTTCTCCATTGAGCTGATTGTCAAAGAGTGTAAGATAAACAAGACTCCAGAGATTTCCAATGTTTGGAGGAATCTCACCTTCAAGATAATTTGTGTTGAGTGATAAAGTCTGCAGTTTGCTCAGCCTGCAAATTTCCACCGGGATTACTCCTGTGATCGAATTGTGGCTGATATCGATAAGACTCAGCTCGAGATACTCTCCAAACTCTGTTGGAATCATACCCGTGAGATTGGTTGATGAGAGGATGAGAGTATTCAAGGACATGAGAGGTTGGAAATTTGAAGGCAATGGGCCTTGCAAATCCACTGATTTCAAGCTTATCTTGACCACTTCGCCTTTTGAGTTGCAGTGTATTCCAAACCAGTTGCAAGGACTTTGGTCTGAAGAATTCCATGATCGTAGTGCTTCTGTTGAGTTGTTTAAGGTTTTCTTCCATGTCAGAAGAGCTTGACCCTGTACATCAATGGAGTAAGAAGAATAGAAGAAAAGAGAGCTTATTGAGAGAAGTAGGGTGAAGGATAAGATATTAGGAGAAAGTATAGGATTTCTTAGGGGTGCAGGCATTGCTGAGAGCAAAGCACAAGTGAGCAGTTTCTTGGGATTGTAGAGGGGGGAACCCCATGTTTTGTTTATAGAGGAAAAGCAGAAGATCTGGATCCAAGAGCACTTTCATTTTTCTATTATTATTGTATTTCTATTTGTTCTTAATTGAGAGATGATGATGCAAAATCGTTTTCATTTTCTTTTTTTATCTATTTTATTCTAGGTTATTTGTTTTTACCGTCAGTAGATGTCCTGGTTGTTTTTGGTGTTTTTCCTTCTGGATTAAACTTGATGTTTGTAACTTAGGTAAACTGGTCTTGTAGTTTTCAATGGCAGAAACTGCCAGAAACAAGAATGGTGGTGCTGAATAGCCAGTACAGAAATCAAATTTTTCTGTTTTTCTTCTTTCATGATTTCTTTAAGAATGTGTTCCATCTTGTTTCACCATTTTCAGTCACCTGTTTTTATCTCCACATGTTACTGGTTGTTGCAATGGTAAAATTATCGATAACATTAGTGGCTGAAATCCAATATGAAAACAATCACTTCATGCCAATGACACTGAAGATCAGGTTTGTACCCGGTTCATCCCTCCGAACATTCTTGATTATTAATGGGACCAAATGGGTAATCATGGCTTATGCTTTTGTATGAATAATTTGGTGGAGTAGCACTTTGAGACTGGTATAGTTACCATTATTGCTTCCTTATTCACCCCACAATGTTGGGGCTTTCAATCCTAAACCATCTCTGGACAGTGCTTTGTTCTATTCTCCTTCACTATCCGTTGAATTTTTCACTCTGCATTACTTAATTAACCCCATTGATGGACCACTATTTTTAGTGGTCACAAGCTGAGTCAGCCACATGTTAGTTTCTTGGTAGCATTTCAGTGACTTTACAACAAGCATCCAACTTGGAGGTTCTGTCAATATCCCTTAACTCTATAAAAATTCGCCTCTCAGATTATTTCAAAATTTTAGAAAATCTGCCTCGTTGTTAAAATTCTGGATCCGTCCCTCAGAAAAGAAAATAATAGAAGGCAAAGTCTGTCTGAAAAATGAAATATTGGGGTTTCTTTATCCATTGTAGGAGTATTAATCTGAACTTTAGGGGTCTATATCGGATTATTATTTTTTGTAGAATGGGTGATAATTTGGTTTGATCATAAGTAGAGTGAGTGTGGATTCTGATGCAGTAGTGAAGGGCACCTGAAAGAAAATAATTAAGCTAAAATTGACTTAATAAATAGAAAATTTGGTCCTTTAAAGATCATCAAGCTCAAAATTTCTTAGAGAATAACCACCCATTCTTCTAGATCTGCATTAGTCTTATTTCAAGTGTAAAACCTCTTAAATAAAGACCTTTTTCTCTATTTCTTTTCTTTCTCCCCCATTCCTCATTTTGTTGATTCAAAAAGAACAAGCGCTATCAATTGAGTAAAGGAAAGATTTGCTACAGTGATTTGGGCGGTTGGCTACATGAGTGGTAGCTCGCGCTCAAAACTCCTCCGACATGAGTCCTAGTTGTTGCCCTGCAGTCTCTTTCCTGACTTCGCTATTTTCACTTCTGATTGGTTTCATTCATCCCCAACCTAGACACAATTTGAGGTCAAGTCTTACAAATGTAATGGTTTTTCTCTCTCTTCCGCTTAGAAAACATAAATTAGATCCATCCCATTGTACAAAAAACATTCATTTTGGACGTTCTATTTGTTATACAATCAAGATCATCAATTAAAGGCGACCCCATGTGCTTCAATTGTATAGAGATAAACTTCTGTACAATTTGGAAGATGTGCTTGATGGGTACTTGAAATACCATTTCCAAACTGCCTCATAACTTCATTACCATCTGGAAGAAAAAATAAGGTGAAGAAATGATGTTCGAGCAAAACCCAGTGAAACAAAGAGACGACAACAACATTAAAAGAAGAGACATACAAAGCAACAAACAAATTGATAAGCAAAATTATGTGTATGTCATCCCAAATGGTCCCCTCTCCACCCCCTCACTTTCTCTTGTTGTGCCAGAAAGAAAGGATCACTCCATAAAGCCTCCTCCCTTGTTTTAATGTAAAAGCTGCATTTGTTACAGTGAAAATTTGCAGTAGCCTGTGATAAGAAAAACGCATTCTTGACATGTCGGTGGACACGATAATATTTCTTGGATAGAATTTATTGATCAAATATCCAATTACATGCAATATTAGGACTCGCTATTAATCGAACGACGAGTTTCATCATTTTGTTTGGTTAGTAAAATTTGATCTAAAGTAACACTACTTGTTGAACCTTCCAGTGATCTTAGCTTGAAACATGATCAATAGGAACTCCGTTCATTGTCCCGGCCGGGTTTGAAATCTAAGAGGAAGAACCTAGGGTACATGACGAGACTCCATTACTTAGTTTTCTGAGAGTTTTATTGGCTAATGCCTGTTGCAGATAGATAATGGATTGAAACATGGTGACATGTTTGGCTGTCATGAAGAGTTGTGAGGCTTATGCTTCAACTTAATTAGATTAAGAGCAAAATACTTTCAGGAACGTGCCATGTTACTCCCCTTCATTTTTGGTGCTAATGTTTATTGGTTTTGCTGTCAGTTCTGGTTTTTGCCATGAGAGATGCACATGAGAGAGAGAGAGAGAGAGTTGGGAGACTTTATTAGTTTATGTATAAAGGTAGTTGAATTATTGGACTGGCAAGTGTACTAGGGAGCTGTTTGTAAGATATAGGAAAAAGTAAATTATAGGATAAAAAGGCCTCCTCTTCTTTGTGTATGTTGTGTGATGTGTGTGCGTAGTAGAGTGAGAACCAACTTTATATCACATTACTCCATGCACTCACCCACTCGTGTGTACAAGACTGAAGGATTGATTTATTAGAAGTGGACCCTGAAAATGGCCTACCATTAAATCCAAGCTAGACCACACCACAAACTGAGAGAGTAAAAAAAGGAGATTTTGATAAACTCGGATTTTATTTTTTCTAAATTTGAGGCTGTTGTATTATCATGGTTAACTTATTCACATGCTTTTACCGACTACTCTTTGGAATTCTAAGTCGATCACCGTAACTCGAGTTAGTTTAACAACTTGTTGCCCTGCCCTAAGAAACAAAGGCGGCTGATTCTGATTCTTAGTAAGTGTGAAAAGTATTAAAGCTAAGACATCTTATTTATTTTATTTTTATAAAGAGGGAAAAAAAATTTGCGTTTTTAGCAATTTTTCCTATAAGAATACATGGATTTGTCTGGTCTAATGTCCATTTTAATGGTCAAATCACTGTCCCCCTAATCCCAGTGCTGTCCTAATCTTTCCTTGAATTTGGATTTTTGAAGCCAACTCACATCTTTTCTTAGATTATTAACTTATTAATTAAACTCATAACCCTACATAAAACACAACTTGTAACCTTTATGTTCAATCTGTGTGTGAAAGCTAGCTCTTTGTTGATCTAAACTAATATTCCACTAAGAAAAAGTAATTATAACCGATATTTTGTGTGATGCTAATGTATGTATTCTTACGACGCATATTAAAAAAATTATTTGTGAGTCGAGCTCGTAATCATAATCAATTATTCTACTCGCAGTTAGGCCTAGGGACCCATGCATGTCTTTATCTCTCTTTCGCTCAAGATGAGGCCAGTTGCTCGATGACATAGTTGGAGCTGGGGACCAGAGTTTGGGGATCAGTACAGCCCATGAAAGGGCAAATGCTGCCAAGATGGTGACGGCAACTATCCTCCAACTCACCGCCAGCCGGCAGTCCCCCAAACGCCACCCAAGAGAGAGAGAGAGACCAATTCCTTGAGACGGCTTTAATGGGAGGGATGGCTTGTGCTCAATCCAACAACCCCCAATGCAAGCATTTTAATTCTACGCGATTACCCAGAGAAATCATGAGTAGATTAATACGGCTCGTGATTCAAAGTTGTTGTATTAGTTATCGATTCAGAAAGCTTTAAGTTATATTAGTCATGATACTACGCCGCAATATTGAACGATACGACCTAAAAAAATATATTGAACAAAGACTTAAATCATACTGCGGCGTCATAGGGTGAATCAGTGACAATAACTGGACAACTTAGGATTGACCGGGATCCAACACAAACGAATCATGCAAGACTCCTGCTTTACATGTATTATATAACGGTATGATATAATCTTGTTCACCTTCTCCTCTGCCTCCAACATTATGTTGAATGTACGCTCTTCTATTACATCTTAAAATGGTGTTCATATGAAATTTTAGAGATTCTGACTTTGATGAGAGTATTAAATAAATATTTAGGATTAATTATACTGGAGGTCCTCAAAGTATAAGGTTTATTTTATTTTAATCTCCAATGTTTTAATTATATCATTTTGGCCCCTGAAATATTTAATATCTATATAATAAAGTAGCTTATAATTCAAATTTTAAAAGATAAATAAAATGACTGTTATTATTCGCGATTGAGAACGATTTAAATTTTATTTTAAAGTTAATCTAATGATTAATATTTACATCCTAAATTTAATAGAAAAAATAGGCCCCTAAGGATGTGTTTGGAGTGACTTTTTAAAAGTACTTTTAAAAATTATTTCTAATAAATACTTTAAAAAAAAAATATGTTTGAAACCACTCCACCACTATCGCCGCCACCACCACCTCCACCCTTACTGTCACCCCCACCGTCGCCTCCACCTTTATCACTGCCACCGCCCAGGGCCGGCCTAACAACAAATTTAAAAAAGTCTAGTTTTAGGCCCCATTTTAAAGGAAGACCCCAAAATTTTAAATATCATAAATAACCTATGTAAAAAATATTTTATAAAAATATAAACCTAATCAAGCATTTAAGCTCATAGGCCAATTCAAATATTAAATATTTTTAAAAAATTAACAATAAAAAAAAAGACTTGAACTTAAAGGTCACATCAAATTAAAAAAAATTCAAATCATTACCTTACTTTTAACACTCTCTCTCTCTCTCTCTCACACACACAGCAAATCAATACAAAGCAATTCTTTTTTTCTTTCTCCTTCTCGTTAAACTAAAATAAAAAAACTCTTCTTCTTCTTCTTCTTCTTCTTCTCTCTCTCTCTCTCTCTCTCTCTCTCTCTCTCTCTCACACACACACACACACATAGTGCTCTCAACTCACAGTAACATGAGATGGTGACTCGATAGCTCGGTGAAGGTGACTCGGTCTCCATCCTCCATCGAATCGAATTTTCATTGCAACATAAGGGACATGGTTTATAATCAAAAGCCAACATTTGAGATCATTCAAGGTTCTATTATTTCATAATTTTAATTTTTTTTGTTAAATATTTTAACTATACTTTATATTGTGTTTGTTTGGTTGTTATATAATTATAATATATTAATAATATGGTGCCTAGAAGACAACTAAGTGGATATGAAAAATTAAAAAAAGAAAAAAGAAAATAAACCAATTAATAGAATCTCAAAAAAGATCTCTTGATAAATTTGTTACTAGTAACAAAAATAATGTAACAAAAATTTAAATGAAAATTTTGAAAATGAACAAGTAAATAATGAAATAGAAGAGAAAAAAAAAATATTGAAATGGAAAATATTGAAATAGAAGATAATGAAATAGAAAATATTGAAATAAAATATAATAAAATAGAGGATAATGAAAAAAATATATTGAAAAAGAAAATATTTTATGGCTTAGATTTATTTTTAAAACTAAATGTTTTAAAAGAAATTTTACAAACGAAAGAAAATACTCCAATTGAGATACTAAATTATATAAAAAAGTTAGATTTTTTTTCAAATGTATGCATTGCTTAAAAAATATTATTAACAATTCATATAACAGTTTCTTTTGCGGAATGAAGCTTTTCAAAATTAAAATTAATAAAATTATATTTAAGATCAACTATGTTAGAAGAAAGATTAACTGAATTAACAATATTATCAATTAAAAAAGATATTGTAGCAAAACTTGAATATAAAAATTTAATTAATATTTTTGCAACTCAAAAAGCAAGAAAAATTAATTTTAAATAAAAAATATTAATATTAAACATAGAAGACCTTATTTAGAAGTATCGCTTTAGACTCCAAATTGTCATGAGCCACCCCTGCCGCCGCCGCCGTCGCCGCCGCCGCCGCCTTCACCTTCATCACCACCGTCTCCGCTGCCACCTCCACAACCACTGCCACCACACCACCACCGCTGTCGCCGCCACCACCATCACCATCTCTTACCACCACCACTGTCGCCCCACCACCTCTCACCCTCATTATAAATCGATACTTAAATTCATTTATCTCTTCTCTATGTTTGTGATTTGATTTTGAATATGAATAGAAATATGTTTATTGTTTACTATTTTTTATTACGTTGTGTCTTCAGGCACATACAATAACTAATGTTTCTATATGGTCCTTTAAGTACACAGCGTTCAGATTACTAATGATTTTTTATCATAAATTTGTTACGTAATACCTAAATATGGACTAAAAATAATTATAATAGCTCTTAAACAAAATTTAGATAGCTCTTGACAAAAAAATGTGTAATATAGATAACTTTTGACTAAAATTTTGATAGTTCATGATCAAAACTGTATAATTTAAGTAACTATTTAACTAAAATTTGAATAGAAATTTGGTCAAGATACTAAAATTATTTTTTTTATTCATATTTAATTATCACGCAGTAAGTTTACAATAAAAAATCGTTAGCAATCTGCAGCCCTTAGGATAGTCTATTTGAGGGACTATATAAAAACATATTTAATATTTCAGATATCAAAATAATGCAATTGAAACATCAAGAACTAAAATAAGACAAACTCTGTATTTTAGAGACCTCTAATACAATTAATCCAAATATTTATGATACACGTCTCTAACAATGGGATCAGGTGGACTAGTTGTCCCAAAATAACTGCAGCCCATGGTATAGTCCCCAAACCAGTCTTAATGGACTGCACCTCAGATCGACATGGGCCATCATGGTTTTTTTTTTTTTTTGCACGAAAATTCAACAAGTGTTCTTTTAAGGACAATTGAAATCATAAAAATTAATTTACCATTAATGATATAATTAGGGACATTAGATAATGAACAATAACATATAAATTTCACTGTTTAATTTCAACCTCAAACCATAGAAATGGACAATGATGTAAGATAATGACTAAAATTTTACTATCAAATTTGCAGTCATGATGACGAACATCTTTCTTAATTCTTCTTCTCTCCGATCCTACCAACATCAATTGTATCGGAGCTGCAGCTCGAACCAACATGACATCCTACTTAGACCATCTTCAATGGAGACTCAAACTCTTACCCAAATTTGAATAAAAATAATTTAGTTATTTATACATGGAACCCTATTTATTTAAAGAAAAGGAGAAGATTCCTCATATGCTGCCCCTCGTCAAACATTTCCTACCCAAAAGTTTAAGGTTCTGTGTTTTATAACACTAGGAAATATGTAATTTAAACAAAACATGGAAATTCGTATTTAAATACAATGACAATTGCCCAAGTATTCATCGACATTGAAGGTATAAAGTACAAGGTAGACTATGATTGAGAAACACAGAATTGTCAAAAAACTTTCAACAGCTGCACTTCAAATATCAATGGCTCGCTTGCATGAGACAAAAGGCTACGTCGAGGGCCAAACTGCAACCAACAACGGATATTATTACATACAGTACAACAAATGAATGACAGCAAAGTATTTTTTTTTTTGGGGGGGTTGGGGTGGGTGGGGGGGGGGGGGGGAGGCTTATCTCAGACAAGAAGCCAATGAGAGTTCAACGAAACAATCTCTTGGAGAAAAAATGTTCTAGGACTCCCAACAGAAGATGAAGAAATAAGGGGGTGGAGAACTAAATAAGAAAAAAAAAAGAACTAGCAAAACCTCATCAGGAATTGGTCTTAGTTTCTCGTTAACATATCCCGAAGAAGGAGGTACCAATGCTCTTCTCTTCCCTGAACGTAATTGATAAGAACTTCAAGTAGTTTGTACATGAATAAGAAGGCAGGAATTATCAACTATGATTACAATTTTACAAGTAAAGGCAAGAGCAATACAACATCATCATAGTTGAGTCAGAATATACCTCCAACCTTCATGCCAATCAATACCTCTTTAAGACCCCTTATTATCTGTAAAATTACACAGCTTGTAAGATTAATTACACAGATAGTAGACAAATAGATTAAAAGAGGGAATTGGAGTATCATAATTCAGTATTCAAACTGATTCAATATTACTATAGTGAAAATCTTTATACAAAGCCAAGATTCTTGTTGCTAAAATGCTCTCTCCATAGGGGGGCGAAATTGTGATTAATAATGATATTGAGCTGATGCGTTGGAAAGCATAGGAAAGATTGCGCAAGAGAGAAGTGCTTCAAAAGAAAGGAAATCAATAGAGAACTTGTGATCACAGTACCAACACTTTGGTACATGAGGGGGACATTGTAAGGAACAATGAATTGAAAAATATAAAGATACGACTACAAAAATACAATGAATTTAACTGCACCAACTTTTGCACTTCTCAACAGAGCAGATTAAACGAACAAAACAAAGCATAACTAGTTTAGGATCAAGTAGAAGTGACCTGTTTGTCATCCACAGGAAGTATAACAGGGGCACTTTCTCCGGTGAATTGATCGACAGTACTACATGCAAATACATCATCAGCATAAGTTGAAGAAGTAGACTTCATTAACGGGTAAAACAAAGCATAACTATTTTAGGACCAAGTGAATAGAATTTCAGAAATAAAATTTTGAAGGACGATATGAATAGGAATACTGAAAGCATTTGCTGAAGGACCACAAAACATATAAAAGTTACCTATGAACAAAATATCCATTTGACCTTCGGCATACATAGTTAACTTCAACCAGATCTCCTTCACGAGCCTCTAGACCTTCCCCTTCAATAATCTCTTGAAAGCAGGTAATAGGAAGTTAGCAAAAGACCCACAAATGACCACACAAAGTATGGAAAAACACGATGCAATGCCATTGGTTGCCTGGCATTATTCTTTCTATGGGTCAAACTTCAATGGTTCAAATACGTAATTGTGTGATGATTCAGTGTTCCAAGGCACTGATGAAAAACAGGAAATTTCAGCTTCAAAGTATATATCATTTTCTGGAGATGGCAAGCAGAAAATTTGTTTCTCTTATATGAGGCAGAGAAACAGAAAATTCTCCCGTAAGTGGCTCCAAGACAGCCATGTGAGAGGTTCAAATTTAATGGAAATAAAGAGACTGGAACAATTATTTGATATACCTACACCACATTAAAGACAATTAATATAGCCTCACATTGTGTCACGATCATCTTAATAGCCAAATTATCAAATTTGACTGGTAAGATTGGTCCAAGTTGTTTCTATAATATAACAAGTACAATGACTCCAATACACAACATGTGGAACCTTAACAAAGGTTTACCTTGAATCCTCACTCCACTAGCAAGCTTCTGGGTCCTGGATGCTTCAAATCCCAAGTAAAAATCATATATAAGAACTGATAAATAAAAAAGTACTCGATCAAGAGCGCTGTACATAATTGTGATTTTTTTTTTCTCTATCAATAATACAAGTAAACTACAAACACCAGCGATATTACCTGATTACTTCAGGTTCATTCATCTCCTGCATTGGTGCTGCTACTACTACTGTGTTAACATTTAGTAAGATGGGATTGAAACCCAGGAACTGCAAAAAAGACCTCCTTAGCACCCTTTTGACTGTAAGGGATGGAAATCCGACACCCAAGCTCTTAGCCACGGCAACCTTGGATTTCTCATTGCCCATTTGGCTGGTTTCATACGGAAATTACAACTCAGTCATAAGCTTTGTTAATTAGCTAGTATGAATGACCAAGGAATACACACAACTGCCTCTTATTTTCTTTCCTTAGGTGGAAATGCAAAATGCCAATTGCCTTTATGCTCCATTTTGCAGCACCAAATCAAGGAAAAAATATTGGGCGTAACTGTTACACCACCTACATCAGCAATATCACCACCATCCTCTAAGTCTGTAACCGTCCATTAATAAGTCGAGTCCCTAAAAATTCATCATCAACCAGAATACATAATCACCACCGTAATACAAAGTGGGCCCCATCTTATTTATTTTGTAATTTTTTATCGGACCTAATATTTACTCCAAATCGAGAGTTCGGACTTGGAACATAAATGTAGTTTGGTTTAATGTTTGGACTAATATTTCTTCAATCCTAATTCCAATCGCCTAATTTCACACTCCCAAACGCGGCGGCATTAATCGATTGGCAACTTTTTTCCAAATTTTTCTCAAGCTCGTGAGTTGATGATGCATCAACAGTTTGACAGATTCCAATGAATTAACAAAACCATGAACCACCGATTCTATGATAACAGAAGTACAATCAATGTTAAGTGAAGTAGAAATCGATGAAAGAGCTTTTACCAGGGAGATCTGAAGGTAAGTGGGAATCGTAGTAGGGTTTGTAACGAAGGAGCTTCCATTGGTGCTGGTGGTGGAGCGAGAGGAGAGAGCAGGAGCGTAGTGGAGTCGTCTTAAAAGTTGCAGACTTTGCTTGGTGTGGTGGTAGTGGATAAGAAAGGTGTCGATGTGTTTTGTTATTCTTGGGCCACGTTAGAGAAGCTAGTCCTCTCAACGGTGTCGCCTCCTGATTTTAGCAGATACGTGTTAAATAAAAATCTCTCTGCAATTCACCTGTCCTCGGTTCATGCTTATTTGGTACGTATACGTATATTTGGGTGAGATTTAAAAAACGAGTTAAAGCTCATAAATTCAATTCCCTTATTCTGGTTTAAAAGTTTCAACCAAACCAAACATAGAATTACTTAAATCCATTATTCTGAACCCGTCTAAACTCATCTAATTTTGTACGGTCGGAACCAACTTGTCATTATAGTAAGCCTATGCAGGTGTAATATATAGACTCCTAATTATATAATTTAAATTAGAATATTTTAATTTCTTTAAATTAAAATTTATATTTTTCATGTATCAAAATTCGGATCGATTAAAATTTAATGCAAATTAATTAAAATTTGATTTGAGTCTCAAATAGAATTTTGATCGGCCCAGATTTTAATATGTAAAAAAATATAATTTTAATCGATCAAAATTTTAATACATAAAAAATAAATTTTAATTAGTTCAAATCAAATTTTAATAGATTCGAATTTTAATACGTAAAAAAAGTTAGAAAATAGAAGGGGTTTTATTGAAGATATATCTATTTAGAGGGGGTGTGGATGAATTTTTTTCTAAAATATATTATAAATAATTTAGTAAAATTTCATTCTAATTAACATTTTTAATCAAATAGGAGGTGTCAGTGAAGATTCAAAAAATAAAAAAAAAATCTATTTGAAGATATGATAAATTAAAAGAAGTGTGGTTAAAATTTTTCCTTTAAATTTTTATAAGTTGCCAAAGCGGGTCTGGCCAAAATGCCGGTTGTCCGGACCACGGGCCAAAATGCCGACCTTTGGAATTTGTTTGTAATTGATTTTATTATTTTTGTAGTACTTGCAATCGATTCAAATAATGAAAATCACTTTAAAAATTAAAAATTTTCTTGTTATAAAATAACTCATAAAAGTTATAAAAATACCAATTAACTCCTTACCCATTTTTTTTTTTAAGATACTGTATTCTTCTCCTTTTACTTTATCTCAACCCTTTTTTTTTTTTGATTGAACAATTAAGGTGAGTACAGAAATAAGTAATAAAAAACTAAAAAACAAATACACTAAGAAATTTAAAACATCCTTATCTTATGACTTGGGGATTGATATGCTGCAGTACTACCTGTAAGGCTAGTGGACGGAGGCCCCGGGTTCAGTATCTCATCAAATTGTGTCCCAAGTCCCATCTAGAAGGTTCATGGGCAGCAACATTGGAGATTCTATGCACATGATTCATGCTTCAATCAATGTGGTTCTGCCTTATCTTCTTCAAGTCACTGATAATTGAGAGAATATTATAGTTCCCATTATTGATCCATTACTCTTTCTAGCGAAGGCTGCTAAACTGGACCTTAAGGCAATCACTAAAGCTTATTTTGCCTTCCTTTGGTGGAGACCGCTTGATATGGTATACGGTGGTAATCGAGTCATGTTGTGTCCCGTTCGTATTGTGTTGAACATTAGTCAACTTTAATCTAACTCATTTAATTAATCGTGTCGTGTTCGTGTTCATATTCGTGTTGACCCACATAAACTTTAAATAAAAAATTTAACGTTAAAATTTTATTTTCACTTAATTATATCTCTCTTCGTACTTTTTCTATAAACTAAAAATTAACTTAATAATAATGAGTAATAATTTTTTTTTATATAATAATTATATCAGTGCTTGAGAAACCGTTGCAAATAATTAATATTTTATTTCTATAATACTAATTATATATGTTCATCGTACATCACACAACCAAATTAAACATTATAAGTAATAGAAAAAACAAGTCATTAAAACAAGAAAACTCATACATGCAACGAATAGGCCAAGTCAATCTCTTTCGAGTTAAAAATTTCGTGTTGACGAATCAATTTGCGTTAAACGGGTTAAACTTGAACACGATCCATTAACACTTCGTGTTAATAAACCGTTTTATACACGGGTTAATACAAAAAATTAATAAATTTAAACTGATTTATTCGTATCGTATTCATATTAACTTATTATGTCATTGTCCAAAATTATCATCCCTAGTATCAATTGGCTCAAAAGAGTTGGATCCGTTGCCCCCAAAATGGAAGAGGGGATTATCTGTCCCTTTGGACCCATTCAGCCAAACAGCTCAACCGGGTTAACCCACTGTTTGGTTCCTCCGGTATTACATCACCGTTCGAGTAGCTACTTTTACATCACCGCATCTTTTGATTGGCTCATAGAATACTGAAACACCATTATCATTTGCCTATCACACCTCTTCGGGTGACTATATCATACCCACCTGTTATATTCATTAATTAATTCAGAAAAGAAAATAACAAAACGTCATTGTCAAAATAGAAGAATCTAGAAACCCTACTGAACTTCCCTATATAATGACTCTATCTCCATCTTCATTTGCTGCCTCTTTCGATCTTCCAAAACCCTAGTCTTCGCCTCTGTCTGCCATTTCGCCTCTGCGAGTTTGTAGTAGCGATCATCAGCAATGGCGGATACAGAGACGTTTGCTTTTCAGGCTGAGATCAACCAGTTGTTGAGTTTGATCATCAACACTTTCTACAGTAACAAGGAGATCTTTCTCCGTGAACTCATTAGCAATGCATCTGATGTAAGTTTCTTGTTCTTTTACCTATATCGGTCGAATTTAATTTTCCTTTCTTTCAAAGATGGATTTTCTGTTGATAGATTCATTTTCGATGCGATTAATATGGTATGTTTTATTTGGATCTGTTCATTTTGCAAGGGATGTGACAGAACAGTAGAAACAAACGTAAATAGGAGTAAATTCTCTTAGAAACAGGCGAAAATAGGAGTAGATTCTTTGCTTTGTTTTGAATTGTCTTTATCGTTTTCACTATTCTTAATTCCTGAAGAAGGAAGAGTACAAGTTTTTCTTTACTCTTATTTTTCTCGGAGAAGGAACAGATCTTAGTTGATTTTTGACATTTTAATATATAATTTTTGTTATGTTGTTGAGTTTTAATTGCCTCAGGTATTTGATAATTTGTTCAAATGTGAACTTATCAGTTAAAAATCACTGGTGTGCCATCTATATGTTCCTGATAACACAGAAAGTATGTATTGCGTTTCTGCCATTTTGAAGAATCTTATGTCCTGTTTGGTAGTAGAGGTCAAGACTGGGATTGATTTTTGATAGAAGTTAGTGCCGAAGGTTGAAATAAATTTTATTTTATTCCTGTGCCAGGGACCTATTAGGATGTCTTTTGGGTTCTTTTCAGTCGTTTATTGCAGTGGAAGCACTGATGTTTTCTATTTTTTATCTATGGGAATTTTTTGCTTATTTATCTGCCTAATGAGTTTTCGGGTATAATTTGAGTAACTGTTTTTTCCATTGTGTCTTGATAGTTAATAGTAAGAGGGGTCTTTGAATGTAAGGAAACTCGAATGCCACATGGTTAACGTTTACCTTAGAATAGGAATTCACATTTTCTTGGAATTTTGATCTGATGATACTTATTTTGTTGATGATTGTTGGAACATGATATATAGGCACTTGATAAAATTCGTTTTGAGAGCTTGACTGACAAGAGCAAGCTAGATGCTCAACCTGAGCTCTTCATTCACATCATTCCTGACAAGACTAGCAACTCATTGACCATCATTGACAGTGGAATTGGCATGACCAAGGCTGGTAAGTAGGGATATCAGTAATTCTTTGCATATTGTTTAATTGTGCTGCTTGCCATTTTTAATTGGTGACCTTGTTGTAATTCTTATATCTGCTGTCAAAAAAATTTCAGATTTGGTGAACAATCTCGGTACCATTGCAAGGTCTGGGACGAAGGAATTCATGGAAGCAATTGCAGCTGGCGCCGATGTTAGCATGATTGGGCAGTTTGGTGTCGGTTTCTATTCAGCTTATTTGGTTGCTGAGAAGGTCATTGTCACAACTAAGCACAATGATGACGAGCAATATGTATGGGAGTCCCAAGCTGGTGGGTCATTCACTGTAACCAGAGACACATCAGGTGAGTTGCTGGGCAGAGGCACTAAGATTACCCTTTACCTTAAAGAAGACCAGCTTGAATACCTTGAGGAGCGCAGGCTTAAGGATCTGATTAAGAAACATTCTGAGTTCATCAGCTACCCAATTTCTCTTTGGATTGAGAAGACGACAGAAAAGGAGATTTCTGATGATGAGGATGAGGAAGAGAAGAAAGATGAGGAGGGAAAGGTAGAGGAAGTTGATGAAGAGAAGGAGGCAGAAGAAAAGAAAAAGAAGAAGATCAAGGAAGTGTCACATGAGTGGTCTTTGGTGAACAAGCAGAAACCCATTTGGATGAGGAAGCCCGAGGAGATCAATAAGGAAGAGTACTCTGCTTTTTACAAGAGCCTCACCAATGATTGGGAAGAACACTTGGCCGTGAAACACTTCTCAGTTGAGGGTCAGCTGGAGTTTAAGGCTGTTCTATTTGTTCCTAAGAGGGCTCCTTTTGACCTCTTTGACACAAAGAAGAAACCCAATAACATTAAGCTTTATGTCCGTCGTGTCTTCATCATGGATAACTGTGAGGAATTGATCCCTGAATACCTTAGTTTTGTGAAGGGTATTGTGGATTCTGAGGACCTTCCTCTTAACATCTCTAGAGAAACGTTGCAGCAGAACAAAATTCTCAAGGTCATCCGCAAAAACTTGGTGAAGAAGTGTGTTGAGCTCTTCTTTGAGATTGCTGAGAATAAGGAAGACTACAATAAGTTCTACGAGGCCTTCTCAAAGAACCTCAAGCTTGGCATCCATGAGGATTCCCAGAACAAGTCCAAGCTTGCTGAATTGCTTCGGTATCATTCCACCAAGAGTGGTGATGAGATGACTAGCTTGAAGGACTATGTGACCAGGATGAAGGAGGGCCAGAGTGACATCTATTATATCACTGGTGAGAGCAAGAAAGCCGTTGAGAACTCTCCATTCCTTGAGAAGCTGAAGAAGAAGGGCTATGAGGTCCTTTACATGGTTGATGCCATTGATGAGTATGCAGTGGGACAGTTGAAGGAGTTTGAGGGAAAGAAGCTTGTTTCTGCTACCAAGGAAGGTCTAAAACTTGATGAGAGTGAAGATGAGAAGCAGAAACAGGAAGCTTTGAAGGAGAAGTTTGAAGGTCTCTGCAAGGTGATTAAGGATGTTTTGGGCGATAAGGTTGAGAAGGTGGTTGTGTCTGATCGTGTTGTGGACTCTCCTTGCTGTTTGGTGACTGGAGAGTATGGGTGGACTGCCAACATGGAGAGAATCATGAAGGCACAAGCTCTGAGGGACTCGAGCATGGCTGGCTACATGTCGAGCAAGAAGACAATGGAGATCAATCCCGAGAATTCCATCATGGAGGAACTTAGGAAAAGGGCTGATGCGGACAAGAATGACAAGTCTGTGAAGGACTTGGTTCTCTTGCTGTTCGAGACTGCATTGCTCACTTCAGGATTCAGCCTAGACGAGCCCAACACCTTTGGCAACAGGATTCACAGGATGCTGAAACTTGGTCTGAGCATAGATGAAGAAGCTGGTGATGCTGATGTTGACATGCCCCCACTGGAGGAAGCAGATGCTGATGCTGAAGGCAGCAAGATGGAGGAAGTTGATTAAATCCTACCTCACTACTTTGCATCTAGTTGCTTCTTTATTTTCCTAAACTGTTACTCTTCTGTTACTGGGTATTTTACCTTAGCGATGATAGAACAAAGTTATGTTTTGGTTATGGGAGTTTCGATGACGCTTTTTTTGGCCAATTGTTGGTTTTGTTCACGTTCTGAGAATGAAATCGTCTTGTGTGGGCGTTTGCACATGATAGAATGTTATTTCTTGTTTTCTGGAATCCAATGTTTTCCTACAAATGCCCTGCCCTATTTGTTTCTCCAAATTTATCAAGTTGTGTGGTTGAAATATTTAAGGGTGGATTTTTAATTCAGTTTTATACTGCATTTAGTTGTAAAAACTAATATTCTGTAGTTTTATTTTGTACTATTAGCTGATTATAATATTACTATACTTTAATTCAAGTATATTAAATTTTAAATTTACTATTTTATCCATCAAATAAACAATAAAATATTAATAATTAGAAACAATTGATGATTTTGAAGTCACTAAATTACAATGCATGGTATACTTATCTCCTATTTAATTTGGTATTTTATTCACTTTATACAAAATTAGTTTGTATTACTTAATATAATCTATTATTTTACAACATAGTAGTTAAACGAGCCCTAAGTGTGTAATTTAAATTTGTTTTGGAGTCGATCATATAAACCATGCCTCGCTCTTTTTTTTTTTTTATGGTTTATGAAAGGTCATGAAGTCGCTTAAACTATGTATAATTTTTTATTATTTTTTAACTATTTTACTGAAATTTAACAATGATCTTTCCTCATTCCTCATCAGTTGACACTGGTGGGAAAAAAAATTGCCCACAAATAGAATTACGTCCATAGATTGACAACTACAATCTAGAACTCATTCAATGAAAACATATGATAATACCCAATTCAAAAGCTATGATAAGGAAAAGCATATACTGAAGACGAGCTTATGTATGAAGGTAGTTGAATTATTGGACTGGCAAGTGTGCTAGGGAGCTGTTTGTAAGATACAGGAAAAAGTAAATTATAGGATAAAAAGGCCTCCTCTTCTTTGTGTATGTTGTGTGATGTGTGTGCGTAGTAGAGTGAGAACCAACTTTATATCACATTACTCCATGCACTCACCCACTCGGGTGTATAAGACTGAAGGATTGATTTATTAGAAGTGGACCCTGAAAATGGCCTACCATTAAATCCAAGCTAGACCACACCACAAACTGAGAGTAAAAAAAGGAGATTTTGATAAACTCAGATTTTATTTTTTTCTAAATTTGAGGCTATTGTATTATCATGGTTAACTTATTCACAAACTTTTACCGACTACTCTTTGAAATTCTAAGTCGATCACCGTAACTCGAGTTAATTTAAGAACTTGTTGTCCTAAGAAACAAAAGCGGCTGATTCTTAGTAAGTGCGAAGTGCATCAAAGGTAAAACATCTTATTTATATTATTTTTATAAAGAGGGGAAAGTATTTGCTTTTTAGCTATTTTTCCTAAAAGAAAACATGGATTTGTCTGGTCTAATGTCCATTTTAATGGTCAAATCACTGTCCCCCTAATCCCAGTGCTGTCCTAATCATTCCTTGAAATTGGATTTTTGAAGCCAACTCACAATTTTTCTTAGATTATTAAAAGAAAGATAATGGTAGTAAAGTGGGGCAGAAGCATATAATTTATTAGTTTATGCATAAAGGTAGTTGAATTATTAGTTAACTTCTTCACAGGAAAAGTTATGACAAGGACAAGCATATACTGAAGACGAAATGGAAGGTTCAACACTGAAATTGTAAACCTACAACCTGGTGCAGTTTTCAGACGGCAACAAACTCGACGCAATAATGCCCTATTGGGCCCACTACAAAACGGAAGACTGCAACGTTTAGAAGCGTAAGAAACCATTTTCAACATCTCCCTTCAAACCAAATACAGAGATCCGGAATCAGGTATCCTCCACTCTCGAGTGAAATACAAAGCTCGGGAATGTAGTGGTGATGTCCCTGTTCAAAGAAGAGTAACAAAATTCAAGTGCTTCAGTATGTTGCGGCTTGGATGCCAAGTCTGTGATGGTGGTAGTAGACAAGGATAGAGGAGGATGACAAAGTGGTAAAACAAAAAACACATGCATGTTGATCTGTGTGTGTGTGAGAGAGAGAGAGAGAGAGAGTGAGAGAGCTATTTAAAAGCTAAGTCTATACAAGGAATGGGTTGCAGCCCTCATGTCTCTTGAACGCAAAAATTATGAAAACTTGCAAAAATGTAGTTCCAATGTATCTACAACTAAGTATTAAAGGACTGCAGGAATGGTGTATGCAAATAACGTAGTCTGTAGTCCCATGTATTTAGGCTTGTCAATGGTGTCAAGTGAAGCAGGTTCATATCGACTCTTAACGGGTGTTGAAAAATACTCAATCAATACCCGATTCATTTATTAGTTCGTATCTAATAAATCGTGTAATATTTTGACACCTCTACGTGTATCTATACAAAAAGCGCAAAAGGTTCTGGTGGACTGACTTAACTAAACCAAGAACTAGTGAACTTACTGATGCCATAATCTGCATAAATCCCGACGAGTATGATCAATATTATTTATACCAATGGAGTGGGGAAAGGTCAGTAATGTATTAGCAACTTACTTGAGGTACTGAAGGGTCATATTCTTCAGCAGGGACGGATGTCGCAAAACAAGACTTCTCCATTCTTCCTTATCAATCTTTCCATCGTGTTTTGTGTCAGCTTCCTCAAAGGTCTGATACAAAGCTCAAAAACACAGTAATCAATCTGAGATTGCTGATTGCATGAGACCAAAGATAAAAAATCTAATATTTTTTCAATGGAAAACTCTCATACACATCGCAACATGCTATGCCTTTCCATGTATTAAGGCATTCAAAAAGGTGACATAAGAAGCTGACGTGTTATCATCTTTACTTCTTATACCATTCCTAGTTGCCAGTAAGAAGTATGTACATCTGCAACTATCTGCCTCAAGTAATGTAAAACTGCCAAAGCTAATTTGATACTGAAACACTGAGCAATTAATTCTTTCGCTGAGTAAGTCAACAAACTAAAATGATATAAAATCTGCAACCTCAACAGGTCCATGTATATCTTAAGCAGCTTTTTACCAACCTTATAGGCTGTAAAATTTGGAGTAAAAATTACACATCCAAAAGTTGCACCTTATTTGTCAAAATAACTCATACTTGACTCGATCCATTCCACAAATCGATTTATGTAAGATTGGTGACAATTAGACCTTGCAAGCACAAATAATATAATCCTCAAGATTCAGGTGACCAAGTGAGTTAGTGATATATGTGATCCTACATAATGACCTACTGCCTTTGCTAAAAATGTATAATGACCAAAAACTGGAAAATGCCTAAAGCAGATGACTCAAGTAAAGCAATTACTTAAGTAACTAAATATCACCTCCAGCAGATGCAGTACAACTTATACTTTCTAAAGTACTATGAAGTGATAGTTCGAAGGCCCAAATTAAGAAAACGAAATCGAGTGCATGGTGAACAATGGCAGACACTGCATCCATGACTATTTGAAAACATATGAACACTTGCTTGCACTTCCAACCCCCTTCTTTCCTCAACAACATCAATACCCTTACCCAAGTCTCCCCCCCCCCCCCAAAAAAAAAAAAAAAAAAAGTAAGACAAATATTAAATGCAGTCAAGGGAGCACCTTATCAATGATACTCTCTATAACATCATCTGAAAGATTCATACCAGACTCGGCAAGAGTAGCCACTACCATTTGCTTCACCTGCATATTCAGCAAATTAATTAAAATCTAGAACCTTCAAAATGAATACAGAAATTGAAGAGTAAGATAATAAATGAAGCTGTTACTTGTAAACTCGTCTTTAATCTAGAGTCTGAAATTAAAAAAGTAAAGGAAACATAAAAAGCACAGAGAGAGAATAACTACACGTGCTGCATTTCCATGGTGGTGAATATCATAGCTTTCCCTCAGCTCAACTCACATGATCACAGATTCTGTGGTTGTTACTTACCAAAACATTCAACCACCAAGTTATAACATCGTCTTTGTGTGGTTATTGTTATTTAAAACCGCAACAGTTACCTCTTGCCTCTCAATGAATCCTTGCTGCTTGAGATCGTATAGTTGGAAAGAAACTGCAACGTAATAATGGATATTTTAAGAAGGCCAATGGAAAATACCGATAAAATGGGTGACTGAGAATGAAGTTCACGTAATGGTAGTACATATGAAGTGTCTCAACATACACTCAATCTTATCATCGATAGGGGCAGTTGGATGAAAGACAGAGAGCGCACGTGCAAACTCTTCAAACCCCAGGATTCCGTTGTGTTTGGTGTCAAACAAGTCAAACACCTGAAATAAATAAGCAGAAAAAAGACAGTGGTACAATAAGCTCTTCTGTAACTCTTTTGACATATTGAAAACTAAAGATATTTCCTACGGTCCTACCGATAAAAAAAAAAAGATATCACATCAATGATACGAAAAAGATAAATAATCCATCTACAAGTCAAATGCGGAAAAGCCACGCACAACAAATTTAAATTTCTAATCTTAGCTCAAGCAGATAAAAAGACGTACACATGCATATAAACGTAAATATTTGCCCACATGTGTCTATGTGTTTGTGCAATTAGATACATATTTTGGTAAATTCATTATACACAACAATTTAAAAGCTTGATAACAGGGAGGAAAGAGTACTTACTACAATGCTATCAAAGAGTGAATGCTAAAATGATGAACAAATACAATGATAACTAAACAGAACATACCCTATCAGCAAACAAGCTCTCTTTCTTATTCGTCTTGAATAATGCCAATTGAAACTCTTCCTGCAAGATCATATTGAAAAACAGCATTCAAACTGACAGATGGATTGTGAGGAAGTGACAAAGCATTTATATGCAGAGAAGGAAATATGCAGAATAAATTCAAGCATGGATGCTCCAACAATGACATATGCATCACAACGTTCAACAGAATAATGGTCAGTCATCTAGAACAATGATCTACAGATGGATAAATATGAACCTTGTTAATCAGCCCATCATCAGTCACAGCGCTGCTAATCTTCTTAAATAGCTCATAAAGTGCTTCTATTTCACTGACGCTAACTGCATCAATTTGAGAAAAATCACAATCTTCAGTACACAGGTCAAATTGCTCTTTCGCATGGGAGGGGATAAAGACATGATTAGCATGAATAACAATACTAGAAAGCTAAGCTAAATAAGAAAGAAATTTCATAATGCCCTGATATTTCCTTGTTCCTTAGATATCACACACTAAGAAAACACTTGGAAGTTAAAGAAAATTCCATAATACTCTTCCAATGAAAATTTCCAGTCACATCGTGCAAAGAAAAAAAAATGGTTATTCAGCATAAAATTCTAAATTTTGGTAACTTAAGAAAACAACCAAATGACCTATGATTAAAATTACATTACAAATTATTTTTACTTTGTCCTGTAGCTTCATTTGTACACTACAGATAGATAACAAGAAAATTTAAGAAGTCATGAGAGTATAGAGTGATTGCATACAAACTGTCTCCCTTGCAAGAATTTCAGGATCTTCAAGGCCCCTAGATTGTCGATACAGATCTAGATCACAACACTGCAACAGGGGAGCACAGAAATGCTTGACCCCCTCTAAGCACTGCAACATGGTACTTCCAGTACATCAAAACACTCCATACCTGTTCAAGGAAGAGGGAAAACATTTTATTTAGATCCCTCATGCACAATAGGGTGCCTGCACACAAGTAGAAATTATAACAAACCTTTTGATCATTTCCTACTGCTGCAAACCCGTACAGCAACCAAGGATTGTGGAAACAGTAGGCACTCAAAACTATATCTGCGTGAAGAATGAAACAAAATTGTCTATTAGGAAATATAACAAATGGCAACTTCTGAACTACAAAAAAGTTTTCAACCACCTGAAAAGAATTGTAAAAATGCTCAGACTAGATGCTCCTAACTGCATATTTCTGATTCAAGATTAAGACACCATAGAGGAATGAAGTTACAAGACAAAACAAAATTACCTTGAGAAGTACTAATGTGTAAAGAACTTTATATGGATACAAAACATATTAAGCACACAAATGATTGATAATTTCCTTAACAACACACTGTTTGATTCTGGAGGTGTACTGTAAAAAAGGAAGGCATGTGAAGACAAGCCTTGAATTCAAGATGAATATAGCAGCTTAAAAGTGATACATAAGGCGGAGAAAGGCATGCTTATAGGCTATAGCAAATAACAAGGCCTGCAACTTGATAGTAATAGGACCTTTGAGCCAATCACTATTGGGTAACAGGCTTATATGTTCAGGAACCTGTGTGTTAGAAAATACTAGAAGCCTAAGACTTAAATCCAGACATCCAACTTTGATAAAAAAAAGGTAAATAACATACGAATTCACATATTGTACAAATTTAAGCAGTTTCTAGTCCCGAATTTACTGCATATGACATTTCTCTCACACTCTTTAATGTTTACAATTACAATTTACATTCCACATAATGATATAAATTTAGCCAGTTCATCGTCCAAAATTTTACTGTATTGATCTTTCTCCTGCTCTTTAATTGTTTACTCACGACACTAAAAATCCAAAACTACGATGTTTCCAGTTCAAAGTTATTTCTTGGATTCAAAAATATCCTATCACAGCTCAGAACCCCCACTTATATATCACTAAACCAACAAAATTTGGCTTGCACGGGAGTACAAATGTTCGGAACCAAGTAGCTACCTCAATTCATTGGCAAAACTCACTATCTAATATCTCTAGTAATCACTATCAAAATTAACAGCACCGGACTAATTCAAAACGCACAAACTCAATCTCTACAACCAAAACAGAAACTGAGAGAAAGATCGGAGCAAGAAATAACCGATCCAGAATCTAATCATCCAGAATTCATGTAATTTGAGGCATTTCAGAGTAAATATATTGTAAATTCAGCAGATTTCATAGATCTAGCAATCGCCTCAAGACCGAATATTCGAAGGTTTTGTAACTGATACCAGGCATATTTAAGGACATAAAAACAAGTGAAGAGAGATGAACATGAAAGTATTTCATTACCTTTAGAAAGATTAGAGAGCACGAAGCTTAGATGAGTTCAAACTCTATAACATGAGAGAGAGAGAGAGAGAGAGAGAAATATCATTTGTAACATGACGGATGAAGGTGATGGGTATACGTTCTGATGAGGCAGGCACGACGCCGTTTCAACGTGGTTATGATGATGGTAAAATAGTGTCAGCAGACTATATATATATTTTTTTTCTTTTCATTTGTCCACTTGTTTGATTCTTAAATTTTTAATTCATTTCTTAAAATAGTAAAATTTTCTCATTATACCCTCCATAAAAATTTAGTCCACAAATAAATATTCATTAACTTTTATGATAATTTTTTGTTTATTTTTATACACAATTACTGGCATAATACTAAATTTTAAGTATTTTTCATACAAATTTTGTACTCAATTGTTTTTAATGGAACACATTGTTACTTTATTGTCAGATCGAGGATGAAATTTAAAAATTTCAATCTTCAATGATGTATTTAGAATACGAATATGTTATCGGGGTGTAAAGTATCATTTATCTTAACGGCAATTAATAATTTGTATTAATGAATGTGACAAACCAGTTTTTTTTTTGGCTGTGGTGTCCGAATTAGGGTTTTTAGCTTAGCTCGAATAAGACTTGACTTGTATTTTAAACGAACTAAGTTTGAATAATTTTTTTAATTCATTTATATATAAATAACCAAGTTACTCGAACTTGGTTCATTTCTTAAAAAATTAAATTTAAATAATTTTTTAGGTTCACTTAAAGAAATGAACTCGACAAATTCAGATTTTAATGTCCAAAACTCGATTCAATTAACAATGCTAATTCAAATATTGACAACAACCATTTATATGATGATGGTGGGGCATTTTGACAACTAGTGAGGGAGCAATGTGTTGCCAATTTAGTCCTCGGCGTTGGAGTCCTTCCTCGGCATCATGCTCACGCTGTATGTCAGCGTCGGTGTGGTACTTCGACTTCCGGGGATTATTCACCTCGCGTCGACCACCATGAGTTCTTAGCGAACAAATCTTCCTCAACATTATGCTCATCCATATGTCGACAACTCCATTACACTTCAGCATTTTCGGTGATGATTCACCTCGACGTCTTCCACCTCACAAAAGGACAAGTTTTGACTTCGAAGATAGAGATGACTAACTAAGGTAAACACGCCCGTAATTAGGATAAAATCAATTTATGAATGTTACACTTTGGGAGCGGTGTTGACTCTTAGTTATTTGCCCCTTCCTCAAAACAATCAGAATGATTAGAAAAGTAATTCGATAACCAATGTTAGAGACGTATAGTGTACGGAACAATTAGTTTCTGACCTCTCAAAAAGGAGATTGACAAAAATGCCCCCACTCATACACCTTATTTCTTTAGCGGTCAATCGGGCCAAGTATATTTGAGGTTCTGGGCAAAAAATTTAAATGGAACCTTAAATTTTTTTAGATACATAATTTATTTATTTTTGTTTTAAAATTTTAAATTCATACTTTTTAATAGGTATATTTACGGTGTAAAATAAACACATTATACAAATGATTATATTAAGATCAAAATTAACTCAAAAATTATAGTCAAAGAAAATCAAACTGAATAAATAGACCAGAGTTATTGAAAATTCAAATAAAAAAGGAAAATAGAGTCTTACAATTTTTAGTACAAGAATGTGGTAAGATTTTTTTCCCTTCTTTTTAAATGTACATATATTATAATTTAAAGAAAAATATTATTAATTTTTTTAATCATTTCACATAACATCTTAAATTTTTTACTTTTTTTTTTTAAAAATATAGTCATATAATTTTGTGAGACATACACAAATGGGGCATTAGGTAAGTGAAGGTCTTAGGCGACTGCCTCACTTGCCTAAGGGTAGAATCGACTTTGCTCATCACTTTCATTACTCCTTTCACTATCTTATTTTTTCTCCTACTCCACCATTTAAGGAGTAAAGAAATTAGAAAAATAATTATAAAAATTTAGGGGATAAAAAGTAATTTTTCAAAAAAAGTTCAATGAAGAATTATTAGTTATTGAAGGGAGTGATTATGCCACATGATAAAATATAATTGGATTGAATGCATTGAAATAAATCAAAATTTTAAAAATCGAGAGGGTAGGAAGTGAAGGACTCTAAAAAATCTCTCTCACTTAATTTGTTTGTTTTATAATATAATATAAATTTGTCAAAATTATAATATGTAAGGAAAATACTTTAAATTATGAAGACAATAATGCAACATGGCATTTTGTTAATAATAATGTTGCATGGTACAGCCGTTCATCTTGTAATAATTGGTGTTGTTTGTTAGGTAGCTATCATGAAAAATATTATTTTGAATTTAATTTAAGAACTTAAGTCGCGAATAGGATTCTCAATTATTATTATTATTTTTTTTTATAAAATTAGTGTTACGGAGTAGTTGGTTATGTAATGAAATTATTGGCAGAAGTGCATATTGCATATGTGCGTTTTTTATGGCAACACTTGCATGTCTTGTTTGTTAATTTTGAATACTTGAGGTAGGGAAATTGCTAAGTATTTTCAAAATATTTCACCTATTTATTATTTGAATTCGTTAAAATTAAATTCATGTTTATTAAGTTCATGCCCGTTTTATATTAAGGCTTTTTTTGGTACAATTAAAAAATAGAATAATAGAAAGTTGGATAAATAGATAAAATATAATGTTTGGTAATGAAGAAAAATAAAAAGGAAGAAAGATTGAATAAATTAGCTTTTCTTCAAACTCACAAAAATTAATTCCTTTAAAATTAAAAGAAAAAATAGATAAAAAATTAACTATGTGTGTTAATGTGTATGCTATTTACCTATATGTTCTTTAATATATGTGTTAATCTCAAAGATTGTTTATTAGGTGTTGTCAATCGAGAAGATGATTTGCTATCGACGATAAATTCCAGCATGGAAAGTCGAGATTGTTTACTAGATGTTGTCAATCGAGAAGATGATCTGCTATCGACGATAAATTCCAGCATTAGAAGTAGTACTGAAGTCGAGCGCCTTTTAGTTAAGGTATCTCAATTGGTTTGAATTGATCAATATTCGACAAAACTGTTATTAAAATGAACGACGACGAGCTATGAGTTAGGTCCTTGCTGGAGCTTAGCAATTAATTTTAACTCATTATTCATTAATTCGCCCATAAATTAATGAGTTGGATATCTATATTAATTAATATGAGGTCTCAATGAGTTGGGTAATATCATTCATTTTAATTAAGTGGGTTAATATAGATCATAAATGAGTACTCATTGGATTGAGTATTATCTTTTTATGAAATAACACAACTAAGAAAATTAAATAAATATATTAATATAACAAAAAATACATACACTGTTATACCAAAAAATACATACATATACAATAATACATCAAAATATATAAACACTAGTATACAAAAAACACACACTAATACACCGCCCATGACCCACATGTCGACCCATAATATCGTGGCTCGACCCATGACCCATGGGGTTAACCCATGAATTGGCCCACAATCCCTATGGGTTGACCCATAACCCAAAGCCCACAATCACCCCGACCCATTATTTGTGTATTTTTTTATTAAATGTATTTTAATTTTTGTGTTAGTATATGTCTGTGTATTTTTGATGTATTAGTATATATTTTAGTGTGTATATTTTTAGTGTATTAGTTTGTGTGATTTGGTGTATTAGTGTGTGTGCATATTTGTATTTTAGTGTACTACTAATACGTGTGTGTTTTGATGTACTAATGTGTTCATTAAGAATTTTAATTATTTTATAGGTTAATTGGTTTAACCCAACCCATTATAAACCCAACCCATTATAACCCATTTACTACATGAGTAAAAAATGGATTAGATTTATTTTAGCCCAATCCAATTAAATCCAACCCATAATTAATTCAACCCAGCCATTTGCCACCTCTATCTCTTACCAAACACAAAAGAGAAAAAAAATGATTTCTGTATTAAATGATAGAAAGTGTATTACTTTCACTTTTTATGTTTTTATTTTTAATCTACCTTACCAAACATACCATAAGTTACAAAATATTGTGTTAATAATTCTTTGTGATTAAGAGTATCAAAATATAACATCATTCATAGAAATGACACAATATGATACAAAATTATAGAGTTTAAATTTTTTTTTAAAGTCATTTGTTTTGTAAAAAGGTAGATCGGACTTAACACGATTAATCAAAAAAATAAATATGAGAAAAATTAATAAAAAAAAAATACACGATACAAACTTAATATAATATAATTTTTTAATTAATTTAGTATGAGAAAATTCGTTTTTGATGTGAACCCGTCTCGCATGCCCCTGTCCATAGGAAACCAATACGAAACTGGATTTGGATTGCCTAGGTAGAACTCCAATTTGGCCCTAAAATGAGGATGTACGCTTTCGGCCCAGCAAAGACGAGCCCGTACATATTACTGATATATAGGTAGAGCACTGGGAAAAGAGCAATCTGTTTCTGTGTTCTTTTGTTTGGTTTGGATCTTCTATCTTCTGTGTCTTCTGAGCGAGTCTTCAAGCCCTAGGTGTAGGTCTTTAATTGATTTAGCGATTTCTATTCAATTCGATCTTCTTCAATCTTTGAGCTTTGGCTATTGAATCTCCGATTCTTTAATGGGGAGGAGAAAGGAGCGTCGGCTCGCAGCTATGGGTGCGACCAATAGAAGGGTAAAGCTTGCCCTCTTCACGGAACCCTCTGGTACATCAATATTTATCTCTCTTTGTTTCTACATGCATGCGTTTGGCCAATCTTATATTAATTTTTTTTTAGGTTTTCAAAGTATTAGGTTAGAATTGTTTTCGGTATATTCAGCTCAGTATAGCTGATGTAGTTCTCTTTCCCGGACATCGGAGGATCCTTCTTTGCTCCTTTAAGGTATATGTTGGGATCATTTATAAAGTTCAACCCAAACAAGCAATTCTAATTTCTTTTGTTTTTCTTCATTGTTTGCAGAGTTTAGGAGTTCCTCTGCTATTTTGCTTGTTATAAAATTTTGTTTGAGTTGATTATACGTAGCTTGTGTAAAATATATATATATATATATATATATATATATATATATATATATATATATATTATTTCTAGGAAATCCTTGCTTGGTTATTTAATATTGTTAACAAAAAGCTTGTCATAATTATATCAGGTTGTAAGCAGCTGTATTTATTTCAGAGGTAAAACAGTGTGACCATCTCCTATGGAAACCCAAATCCTTGCCCAAATTTGAGTTAAAAAAAGGATAAAAAGATTGTTTTGGTATAGAATTCTCAAATGGAGAAACTTAAATTTAAAGGAAGAGAAACTCAAATGTAAATGAGGACAAACCCAAATTTAAAAAAGGGTAAAATTTGACAATTAGATGTTTAAAGGAGGATGAAATCTCATTATTAAATATTTGGGTATGGATTTAAGTATCCCTTGATTTGAGTAAAAAAATAAGTCTCCCTTCATTTTATATGGGTATGAGTTTAGCATTGGAGAAGTTTTTTTACTCAAATTTAAATTTGGGTTTAAAAAAGTGTAAGGATTAGAGATGCTCATATTATTCAATCTATTTGGTGTTGGTCTGTATAAATGGTTTGCTAGTCTTGGTATTTGTTCTGTGCATATCCGGCACTAGTGTTTTAATGTATACAGTATATATGACCAAGTTGGTTTTACATTTGGGCATTTTGCTTGTCTTTTTAGGAGATTTGGGTGGCTCTCCTGTGCAAGTGGAAGTTGGAGGGAACGATGATTCCAAAAATAGTGCTGAGTTACCCAATTCGCCATCTTCTTCAGGTGGGTTCCGTTTGTTTTTCTCAAAGGACTGATCTATGTTGAGAAGACATGATGTGACCGCATTATAGTGGTGGAAATTATTGATTTACTTTGTACAAGACGTGTTGTTTGCACCCCAAGATATTTTTTCAGACTGTAGGGGTGGCTTTGGTATTGGGAACTTTCAAAATGTCATGAGATTTTGTTGGGTCCTGCCACAGTGAATCACAGATCGAAATTCCTGACATATAACACTCTTTTTCTGCTGCATCAAAGGCATCTCGGCGGTTTTGCAAGGATATGATTCCTCCTCGGTTCGTATGTCTCTTGCTTTATTTGCTTTATGCCTTACTGACAATTTTTCCTGTGTTCTACAGGTGGCTATGAAGTATGTAAACTAACATATGGATGTTGGAATTTTGTGTTTTACTTCTATTTTTGGGGTCCTTACTTGTGTATAGCCTATAAAATTGCACACACTTGTTTGCTGTCTGGTGTGCTGGTGGTTTGTTAATGATATCTGTGTTATCTGACAGTTTGTATTTTTTGTGCAGGTCAACAACCAGAGAATCCACTGCTGTTACTTGGGCAATACAGTGATGATGAATTGGATGAGGAATCAACGAAAGGACTGGATCATGCCATTGTGGAGAATTCCTCAGCTGACCTTGATGATCAGGTGATTTGTTGTCTCCTTGACCTGTGTCTGCTTTGGTGAGTTTCACCTAAATAAGGGGGGGCAAACTTCCATTTCCAGTTGTAACGAAGCCAAGCCACCACTACAGCTGACCCCTGTATATATATTTGTCAAAATAAGCATATTACGTCCATGCAGTAGGGGATCAAACTTTGGATATTTCAAAATAGAAGTTTGGGGTTTTTTGAGGCACTGATTTGCACTAATTATGCTTAAATTAGATCACAATCCTCTCCAACTTTCTCTTGAATTGGTGAGGCTGTGAAGATTTTTGCTGGTAAATTACTTTCTGTCTCAAAGTGAGTCTTTTCTTTTGTGTCTTATATTTAGTGATTTATTTTGAGCAGGCAAAGGTAGCTGTCGGCAAAGAATGCGATACTATCGAAGTCAATGGAGGCAAAGAGCATATTTCTCAGAAGGCTGAACAGCTTTACATAGATAATGGTTCTGCTTCAGGAAATGTTTTGCAGAAACTGGACGAAAATGGTACTGGAGAAAATGAGGCTACTGAGTCAGCTGATTTGCACAGAGAAACGGATTCGAAGGAACAAATCTCTATTTCTGCAACTTGTGATATACAAGTGGGGGGGGATGTGAGTTCAGGCTGGAAGGTTGTGTTGCATGAAGAGAGTAATCAATATTACTACTGGAATACTGAGACTGGTGAAACTTCATGGGAAGTGCCTGATGTTTTGGCTAAGGGAACAGGATTGACCTGTGAACAGAAAACTGCTGCCGATATTGAAGGTAGTGAGATTGCAGTTGCAGTTGCAAAAAAATTAAGTTCAACTTTAGACATAGAATTGGATGAGACTATCGCTAGACAGCCTAGTGATGGTTATAAGGATGCCAATCCAAACGGCGAAAGTGAACATGTGTATGAGCCAAGGCCTGAAATGGAAGTGTCAAATGAAGAACAGAAAGGTGACATTCTGGATGATAAAAGAGGCTACCATGATGTGAATGAAAATGATGTGAAATACAGCGGTGCAATGTATCATGAAACTTCTTCACCTGGGAATTATGTTTCTTCTGGGCAATCAGGTGATGCTCTTTTGGGTGTGGAACAGGAAAGAGGGACAGATGTTCCTTTTCGCCTTGTGAAACATAGTGAATGCTTGTTAGAGACATTAAGGTCTCTGAAAAGGTATGGATATGCCTGGTCTTCCTTCTTTCTTCATGTGACCTTTTGCATTGCCTACCTCTTATTCATATGCCAGATTATAAATCTGAAAAGTGATGGTAGAAGGTTTTTTCTCCTTTTTATTCTATTATTATGTATTTCTGTTATTAATGATTCTTTTTTGATCTCTCATCCAATGTGTTTCAGGTCAAAATGCCACCTGCAAGTGCATGATCTGGTAGCTAAGTACATACTGGAAGTTGAGATCAGACTCTCTGATATCAAGTCACTATTATCTTATGGATCATCCTTGCTCCCCTTTTGGGTACACTCTGAAAGGCAGCTTAAACAGCTGGAAGCTTCCATGAATGAAGAAGTTATCCAATTTCCTAAATCCGTGCAAATGAGTGAAGTTCAGGCTTCGCATTATCTACATGGAAGCACAGGTGATGGCATCCAATCAGATTTAAGTGAAAAAAAGATAGTTATATGTACTTCTGAAGGGTCTCATGCTTCTGAGTATGCTAGTACAATACCAGAAGTCCAGAAAGATGCATGCACTGAAGCTTACACTGATGCTGCTGTCAATGCTGAACAAGATGCTTCCACTGGATATATCACCATACATTCTGCCAGTGGCGCAGGAGGAAAGGAAGAGCTTGATGGAGCTGCAATACATGCTGAAACTCTCAATGCCGTGCTTCATTCTGGGGAAGATGTAGACATGGATGTGGACATGGAAGTTGAAGATGAAATTCCTGCCAGCAATACAAATATTCCAGATGCATCAGTTCCCCAGTATCTTGCTTCACCAGAGCAACCCGGTCTGGCTAATCTCTCTTCACAACTCGAATCCTTTACCCCAGAGGAAGCGTTTGGTGTGCCACCTCCACCAGATGAAGATTGGATTCCCCCCCCACCTCCTGATGGTGAACCTTTTCCTCCGCCACCACCTGATGAGCCCCCTGAAAACTCATATCCCCCACTTCCATCTGATTTGGAGACAGTACCACCGTTTGCTTATACTGGACATTACAATCTATCCTACCCAGATTCTAATTACGAATATTATGTGCCAACAAATGGCGAAGCCTTGGGCAGTAATTTTTATGCGCATGCCAATGGAAGTCAGATAGCTGTTTCCCATCCACTCCCTTATTATGAAGCAGTGGCCCCCATGTATCCGGGTGCTGCTCCAGTTGTAGTCAACCCTGTTGAGCCTTTTGCATATTATGGTCTTCAAGATGGAACTGTACCCCCTGTACCTGTAGTTAGTAGTGCTGAATCTTCTGGGTTCCACTGTATGTCTGGTCATGAAAGCCTCGGTCCTGATCAAATCGTATCGCTAGAGGCCCATGCAGTACCGTGCTGCACTTCATTGTCAAATACCAAGACTGATGTTTCGGCTGCTGTTGGAGAGACTGAGAAGGAAGCTGTAAAGGTGCCTTCTGCTCCAGCCTCTGTTCAGGCTTCAGCAACCATTTCCGCGATGGAGTGTGTTTCGATGTCATCAATTCCTGCTGTTCCTACTGTGTCTGCTGCTACAGCTACGGTTCCTAAGGTTCAATCTAAAGGTAGAGTTTCAGTATACCCTAAGATTAGGGTTGGATAAACCTACAATTTATTTGGCATCAATTATACGTTCTTATGCATTCTGGACAGTCTACTTGTTTATCATCTATGTTGAAAATTCTGGATCTGCACCGTCATTAATTGTGAATGGTTTTTGCTGTGTGTCGAGTTTTGTGGTGCAATTCAGGGACCAATTATTTTATAATGCTCCTATTGAATACCTGCTACGAGCTATCACATCCTCAGCTTACTCAGAAGATTCATAGCATTGTTCTAGGTTTTTTAACTTCTATTCCTGCTTTCAGTTCCACGTAAGAAACAACGGACAGTTGGTGTGGTGTCCACATTGAGGTCTAATAAGAAAGTCTCCAGCTTGGTGGACAAGGTGCATTATTCAACAGCAATACTTTTATATATATATATATATATATATGTTACAATTTGTATTTTCAAATCATTAAAAATTTGGCAATGCTATTAGTGGAAGGCTGCCAAAGAGGAGTTGCATGAAGAAGAGGAAGAGGAAGATGAACCTGAAAATGCTTATGAGATGTTAGAGAAGAAACGCCAAAGGGAAATAGAGGTCTGCAATTGGTCTTGTGTCTGTTTTTCTTCTGTGAATTGGCTGGTTCTGGTGTCTTAAGTTTTTTTGATTGCAGAAATGGCGTGCAAAGCAGGTTGCTAGTGGAGAGGCCAAAGATAATGCTAACTTTCAGCCTCTTGGAGGTGATTGGTATGGACCTTGAACTCAAATAAATTTGTTTCAGTACTTCATATTTATGGCAATCTAGGCATGCATTCAGTAGGTCGTAAAATGAAAGTGCCCCCTCCCCTTGTCTATCCCCATGTATTCCTGTTCTCTTTTCTGTAGTGTGTGTATGTGTGTTTGGGTATACCTGTTAAAGTTTTGTTTTTGGGTTGGAGAGGGGAACTGTATATACAATTTTTTTTTTTTTGGAGGGGGTGTGTTCTGTTTCTCACAGTTTTTTTTCTCCGGTTGGGGGAGGGGATGAGGGTGTTCTTTGAAACTTGAATCCCCAGTGGGATGACATCCTGTAAACCAAATGGCAGAAGTGGTTTGTTGAAGCTAATTGCTAACCTCACACATCTTTGGCAGAAGTGGTGTGTTCTGTTTCTCACAGTTTTTTTTCTCCGGTTGGGGGAGGGGATGAGGGTGTTCTTTGAAACTTGAATCCCCAGTGGGATGACATCTTGTTAACCAAATGGCAGAAGTGGTTTGTTGAAGCTAATTGCTAACCTCACACATCTTTGGCAGAAGTGGTGTGTTCTGTTTCTCACAGTTTTTTTTCTCCGGTTGGGGGAGGGGATGAGGGTGTTCTTTGAAACTTGAATCCCTAGCGGGATGACATCCTGTAAACCTAATGGCAGAAGTGGTTTGTTGAAGCTAATTGTTAACCTCACACATCTTGGGCAGATATGAAATTGTTTTTAGGTTGTTGAAGCTAACTGCTAACTTTATGCATCTTCGGCAGAAATGAAATTGCTTGTAAATTTGTTCCCCTTTGCTTAAACTAGCTTTGGACCCATGTGATGCACAAAATTTGTAATGTCTTCCCACCTCCACCCTATTTCCACTGCGCCACCTTAACATTGTTGGAAAATTGCAATTAGTTGCTTAACTGATTTTTCCAAAATATTAAATTTAGAGTAGTTAACAAGAATAGAGGGGGTGTTTAATTGATTGTTTTTTAAAAAATTAAAAATTGGAGAGTTAGCAAAAACTGGTGGGGTTGGGTATATATAGGACCCAAGAGAGAATTTAATTCGAGGAAACCAAAGTTTTTCCAAACGAAGATGTGAAAATTAAGAAAATGGGGAGAGAAAGCTTCTCAATTCTCTTCCCTCAAATTTTTAATATATAAAACTTTCTTATTGCCTTCCATTTTTAATCTCTCTCTCTCTTGTGTGCAATGTGTCTCCACCCTTACATATGGTGCACTCGTGTTCCTGTACAAACTTGCATATGCTTGTGCACCCTTTGCTGTGATAAATGATCTTTTACACTGCACCTTACATTTGATGAATGATACATCACCTCTGCACTTTGTGCTACTGTTATTCAGGCGAGAGCGGGTTAAGCGCAAGAGAGCTCAATCATCGAATGAAGCTGTAGAGACTCCAGCAGAGGGGGTTATTACCGATGAAAAGCACCAGTCTGATCTGAGTGAACTTTCAAGAGATCTCCCATCTGGGTGGCAGGTACTGTTTCAGTCCACACACACTCAAGTAGCAAGTATAAGATGAAAGGGCGAGTGCAATGGACAATAGAGACACTAGTGGTTCTTTGGGAAATAGAAAATGAAAGCAGTTTTTAAAACTGCTGAATTGATCACAGTACTTGTCTGCCTTCTCAAATCTAAAACCTTCAAACCCCAACTTTCCTTGTGGGTGGCTAGTGCAACCAAAAGTTAAAGGCTTATCTCCTCTAGCCTCTGCAGTCTAGAACTATTGTGTGCTTCAGTGAAACAGTATTGTGTACTGAGGCCCGTGGTTCTCTTGTGGCTTTTAAGTTGAGTTTGTCTCATGGTCTCTATCTTATTAGTCGTTTCTAGACTCAGTATCCTATGTGCAAAATAATTATCAATATGATTAGGATAATAAAAAAGACCTTCTCTAAGTTTGGTTCCCGTTAGTCAAGGGTGTAGGGAGGATTACTAACTCTTTACATTTTTTGTGCCCAAGTGGTTGTCCTTGGATTCAAACACAGTTGTTAACCAAATACTTCTATAACAATATTTGACAATTATGCCTTTTTCAAATGATTAAAACACTCGATTATTATGATTTAGCATTCTTTCTCCTGATCTAATACCTTTTTTTTTAGCATTCTTTCTCCTGTTCTAATAGCCTTTGGTTCTGTTTCTTGCTTTTTCCCTTCTCTTCTTCAGGCATTCTGGGATGAAACCTCAAAGCAAGTCTATTATGGAAATGCCGCGACATCAGAAACAACCTGGATTAGACCAGTAACATGACACGAGCTTGTGAAGATTTTTGAGAGAACCAATTAATAGTCACTATCTATTTAGGGCTTGAATGTAATCTTTTCTATTTCAGTTTTGTTTTTCCCTTTTTTATTTTTTTGAGTATCAGTCCTTCACTTCCCTCTTTGTATATATGGAGGAATGATAAAATTAACGTTTTGTTCCAGCAAGTTCAGAAATGAAATTTTGGCACGTTTCTGACTGAAACAACACGCCATAGATTGATCATGATGCTAGCCAGCAACAAGGTAATGGCGTCCTTGACCAAGTTAGAAAGACAGATTTTATTACCACACTTGTGTTTTTCTAAACTATCCATCCCTAGATGTAGGGTGAGCAAAACTGAAAGAGGAAATTTCTGATCCGATAGCCTTGCTTAACGAGCTTTGAGTTTTGACTTAAAAGTTCTAAACATCAACCGAAGTTCTCCCCTAAGAACCTACAAGGGTAAGTTAAAGTTGGGCTTGTCCAGATCCAATCCTGCTACTAACATTTCTCCGTTACGTAGATTTAAAAATTAGAATTGATAATTAGAATCATTGATTTCACTGTAGGTCTCAACATTTATTGGAATTCATTACATATTCAATGACTGAAATTATTAAGTTTAATTTTTAAATCCATCTAATATTATTCTTTTCCGATATTTACCTAGATAAGTTACGTCCTACGGAAGATTCCTGTTGCCCGTTGCCCGAATGTCGCTTGTGCGCATTATTTTATTTTTATGTATCAAGTGGAATTTTAATTCAACAAATTAGAAAAAAAAAACTATTTTTTTTTTTTTGCAAAAGAAAGGTATTATGATCTTTTGAGTCTAAATGTTTTATTTTAATCCTAAACTTTAAAAACTTGAAGGATAAAATTTAATTTAGTTAAACTATTAATTACTCAAACCACAAGAACCAAAAGCCAAAAAAAAAAAAAAAAAAAAAAAGGAGCTTACCAAAGTCTGCATCCAGGCCGGCTCTGCCTGCTTTTTCCTTTTCTTCATTATCGTCTTCCCATTAAATGTTTTCCCTTTGTTCATTTTTTCTTGTTTTTCTCTCTCCCGACGGAGGCATCTATGTGGAATTTGTCGGTATGTAGAATGTATAAACCCTCTTGTTTTGTATAATACAATCCAATACCACAAAAACAAAGGCCTGCATAATTCAGGAGCCAGAAAGAGATGGCAAACAGCAACAATGGAACCATTTCTCACGATCTAATCTCTCTCCTCTCTTCAGAAAAAAGAGACTTCGTCGTCCGCAACAATGGCGATCAGGTGTACATTTAGTTATAAGCATATCATTTTTCACTTTCCTCTCCAATCTCTCAACTTTTCATGTGAAGTAAACTGGTACATGATTATGATCGGGATAATTTTTATAATAGCGTGAGATAGCGATTTTCAAGCTGGCGAACTTAAAACAACAGGGTCAGAAAAAAGGGGGCCAGACGAGCGTCCGACTAATTACCTCTGAAGCTTAAGTCAGTATAAAGTCAAAGGGTTTTGCTCAATGGACTATTTTTATGATTCAAGTTTGCGTATCTTTGTCCATTTTTTTGAGGAGTATTTATACCTGAACTAGCAATGATTGTCAAAGATCTCCAGTCTCATCTGAACATCTTACATCTGACACACCATTCCACATGCAATGAGTGTTTTCTACTCACGTCTCCTCCTATTGAATGCTAGGAAAATGGGATAAATGTTTGGCCAAATGCCGAACATTCATGCCACTCCCCGAGTACCCAAATTTTCCAGATCAGCATTCGACATCAACTAAACATTGAATCCTTGGGGGGAACAGTTTCTCGGGGGAGCCAATCGCGTCATCTTGACGCATCAGCCATTAATGCTTAGCTATCATGACAGTAGGCTTAGACTCCCAGAGGACAGGTGCTGGCAGACTCGCATTTATTTGTCTTGTCACTTTCACTCATTCTGCCATAAATGAGGGGTTACATTGCATTAAATACGATGTCAGTTGTCATACCCGGTTACTCAGTGTCACCATACCTCGACTTACTTCCTCGGCGCCCTTTGGATATCTCAACTGCTTCATTATTCCATGTGTCGACTCGGGAACTGTAGAGTCACCTAGAGTCTCGCCAATCATATACACTTTTAAAGGCCTACTAAGTTATAAGTATACATTAATTTGGTTGTTAGTACATTAATATATATTTCTTAATGATTTGGGAATCATAGATCCGAAAATCTCTTTAAAAGTTGTATATATTTAACCCTCTACAAAGACCACACAAAAGTAAGAGTCTTGTTTGCTAGGTTACCTCTTTTAGGAGCTTATGTTTTTATCCTTAGTCGTCAATAACTATTCAAGGGATATTCAAGGGAACTCCAAGGGTAGCTTAAGTGGGAACATGAACGAGTTATAAATTCAGACGTCATGAATTTGAATTTTAGTAAGTGACAGCTCTTTGGAGTCAGGTCATGAAGAATTTATCCCTTATGAATACCCTAGTCCTAGGTGTGAATGACCTACTTTTGATCGGACCGGATAGGGGATTGAGATGCGTATAAGCTAGCCCATACACTCTCGACCATTGAATCGAAAAAAAAGGTTAATAGCACTTTTAGTCCTTAAAATATATATTTTTTGTCAGTTTAGTCTTCATCATATCAATTTTGTCAATGTGGTGCCAACAATTCGTGTCATTTGGTTCCTACATAGATGAACTGTAAGCTTTTGACAAAATCATCATGTGTTGAGCACGTGCATCTAAAAAATTAATACATGATCACTTCCATAAAAAAATTTGACGAATTGTTTAATTAGGGACCAAAGTAACACAAATTGAATATTTTAGGAGCAAATTGATAAAATTGTTATAATGAGAACTAAACTAACAAAAAATACATACTTTGGAGACGAAAAATGCTAAAAAAAAATAAACTATTCAAGGAAGCCCAGAGCCCAGTTCACCAGATGCTTGTGCATACCTTTCTCCTACCCCATGCCATACTTGGGATTAGGAATAGCATGTCGAGTTTAGTTCATGCTATACAGAACTGATAAACAATTGAAAATGGAGTCTAATTTTGGTTTTTACAGGTTAAAATCAGTGAGTTGGTTGGAAAGATAGTGGGTTTATACTTCTCTGGCTCAAATTGTAGACCAAGTAGTCGTTTCAATCCACAATTGTTGGAGGTCTATGAAGAGCTCTCATCTAAAGGTGACTTCCAAGTAGTCTTTATCTCCTCTGATAGAGATGATGAATCTTTCAATGCCTACTTTGCTGAAATGCCATGGCTTGCCATTCCATTCTCTGATTCTGAAACACGTAAATGCCTCGAGGAGGTGTTCAAAGTTGAGGGAACCCCTCATCTAGTGATTCTGGATGGGACAGGTAAAGTTTCAAGTTCTCGAGCAGTTAATCTAGTTCGGAACTATGGCGCTGAGGGGTACCCTTTTACAACTGAAAGAGTTAACACTATGAGAGATGAAGAAGAGGCAGCTAAGAAGGATCAATCCTTGACATCTATCTTGGTTTCTAGTTCACGCGATTTTTTGATCTCAAATGGTGGAAATAAGGTCAGTTCTCTGCTTATATGTTAGTCAGCTATGCTTGAAAACTAGCTGTTCTTGTTTGATATTCAATCATTCGTATTTGTCATTTTTCTGGAGTTTTACTAGGTTCTTGTGTCGGAGCTAGAAGGAAAGATGGTTGGCCTGTATTTCTCAATTTTCCATAAAAGCGTTGTTGAGTTTACCGCAAAACTTGTAGATATGTACAAGAAACTTAAGGAAAAGGGAGAGGATTTCGAAATTGTGTCAATATCTCTGGATCATGAGGCTAAAAGCTTCAAACAAGGTTTTGAAACAATGCCATGGTTAGCTTTGCCTTTCAAGGATAAGTTGTGTGGAAAATTAATTCGATACTTTGAGCTTAGAGGACTTCCTACACTGGTGGTGATCGGTCCAGATGGGAAAACTCTGAACCCCAATGTGGCTGAACTCATTGAAGAGCATGGAGCCGAATCCTACCCTTTCACACCTGACAAGCTTCGGGCGTTTGCTGAAATTGAGAAGGCAAAACTTGAAGCTCAAACTCTCGAGTCCATTTTAGTCTCTGAGGAACAAGATTTTGTAATCGAAAAAGGGGGTTCCAAGGTAAGATTTGTTGTTTCCAGGGTGCAATTTCATTAGTTCTTTGAATTATCAGATGATATAACCATTGCTACCCAATTTTTGGCTAGGAGAAAAAACAAAGATACAAGTTTTTTCTTAATTTTCTGTTATGTTGTTTGTTAGGTTCCGGTATGTGAACTTGTTGGGAAGAGCATTCTTCTCTATTTCTCAGCTCACTGGTGTCCTCCATGTCGTGCTTTTCTACCCAAGCTTATGACAGCATACCACGAGATCAAAGCAAAGGACGATGCATTTGAAGTGATTTTCATATCAAGTGATCGCGATCAACCTTCTTTTGATGAATTCTTTTCGACCATGCCTTGGTTAGCCCTCCCTTTTGGGGATGAACGAAAAGAATCCTTGGAACGCAGATTCCAAATAAGAGGCATTCCTGCTGTCATAGCAATTGGACCTGGTGGCCGGACAGTAACCACAAAAGCCAGGGCCCTCATACAAACTCATGGTGCTGAGGCCTATCCCTTCACAGAAGAGAATATGAAACAATTGGAGGAAAAGATTGAGGAAATGGCGAGGGGGTGGCCTGAGAAAGTGAAACATGAGCTCCATCCAGAGCATGACCTCTTAAGGACTCGTCGGGACATGTTTATTTGCAATGGCTGCAAGGAGATGGGGGATGGATGGTCTTTCTATTGTAGGGCTTGTGACTTTGATCTCCATCCAAAGTGTGCACTGAAGAAAGATGAAGAGACAAGGGAGGATGATAAGGAGAATGGTGATCATGGAGGAGTTGGAAAGGCAAAGGAAGGAGTGATATGCAATGGAGATGTGTGCCGTAAAGCATGAGGAAGCATTAGGAATAAATTCCCCTCTTTCATGAACTCCCTTGACTTTGTACTTGGATGCCACATTTTTAAATGTGATATATGTTTTCTATATGAAATTTCATTCTATATATATAATGATTATGGTTTTTCGTTCTATTTTTCAAATTTTTTATGTTTGGACACCAGTTTAACTTAATAGAGCTTTCTAACTTTGACTAATATCAATTTCGTACACAGATGTCACATTCGTAAATGTGATATATGTTTTCATATAAAATTTAATTCTCTATGCACTGATTATAACATGGTGATTCTTTGTATTAGTCATAATCCTTCAGATTTGGCACTTGTTTAACACAAATTTCTAATTTTGACCAACCTTAACTTCATGTCAGAATGTCGCATTTGCAAATGTTATATATATTTTCTATGTGGAATTTCATTCTCCATACACTGATTGTAGTAGTCCATTATTTGCCACGCGGTGATCCTTAGTAAATCCTTTACAACATTGTAATCCATAGTATCAGTCAAAATCCTTCGACTTTGGATGTTAATTTAACAAAACTAGGTCTTCTAACTTTGACGAACATTAACTATGTACTCAGATATCATATAAACAAATGTGATATATGTTTTTTACGTAAAATTTTATTCACTACACACTGATTATAGTGTTCTATCTTTTACAACATGATGATTCATAATAGTATTAGTCACCATCCTTCAAGTTTGACACTAGTTTAACCGAAACTATCTAACTTTGATCAACCTTAACTTCGTATCCAGATATCCCATTCACAAATGTGATATATTTTTGCCATGGGAAATTTAATTCTCTATGTATTGCTAATAATGTTCCATCCTTTACAATATGATTATTCTTAGTATTTTTCACTTCATTCGGTTTAGACTCCAATTTAACACAATAAAGTTTTTTAATTTTGATCAACCTTAACTTCCTACCCGATTATCCCATTTACAAATATTATTATGCTTTCCATGCAAAACTTTCATACTCTATACACTGATTATAACGTCTCATCCATAAGAACACATACAAGTGAAAATCGTGAAGATTGAGAAATGTAATAAAGACATAGCAATAGAGACGCACCAAATACATAGGAGGCTGCCCACACGTCGTTATATAGTGTTCTAGCTACAAAAACAATAGACAACTTTGGATTGGCTTTACATGAATGTTACTTCTGCACTGAAATTGAGGTTTTTCTCCAGCCTAATCACTAGTCCAAATGTCTGTGTGTGTGCTGTGTGCGTGTGTGTGTGAGAGAGAAAGAGAGAGAACATAAAACTACAAGACATCAACAAATCCATTAATTTGATATAAGAAGAAATTCATTCATTTCTTTCTTCCTCATCGACCACGACAACTGAGACAACCTGAAAAATCCAGACCCAATTTCAAAACAATCCTCTCATCTTCTTCTCTCATCCCTGTAAGGCCCTTCACTTTCTTGATCCTTCAAGAAGCCTAGGAAAGCGAGAAAGCCGAAAAAGAAGAACCCACCTGACCAACCACCTCCGCCACCACCTCCACCACCTCCGCCATCATCATCACGGGGTGGAAAACCAGTTCCACCATCATCAAGTTCCGGAGACTTTTCCTTCCCTGGAATCCAGTAAAAAATTATGAACTATTTTGGACAACAAAATCCATCAAAAAATTATCTAACATGTAAATGATTGCACAACTTCCAATTTTGTAGCGGACAAAAATCTCCAGAGCAGTCATATATCACGAACCTGAGCTACTCTGTCTTTCTTTTTTTTTTTTTGGGGAGTGGGTGGGGTAATTTTTTTTGTTGATGTCATGTAGTTTTGTTTTATCTCTCTCTTACACACACACAAACACAAATACACAAAAAATAGAATTTCTACAAATAATGGGAGAGCAAGAAATTTAAAGATAAATAACCAACAGATTTCAACCGCAGCACAAGTGAAGTTACACGAGTCAGTAATAGAAGCAAGAAGAGAGCACCTTGAATAGGAGCAACAGTAATGGTTGATGACTGTCGTGTAACCGTTTGGGTTTGCTCTGCACCACATCTTGCATTCTGCAGAGGTAAAAAAAAAAAAAGCCAGATCAGGATTCCGGACCTAAAACAAATACAATGGAGCTAGCAATACCAAGTATCTATGAAGAAAAAAGAAAAACGAACAAAAAAAATTTACTAGAAACACATGTATCTTTAACATATCCCAACTACACTTTCCCTCGTTATTATCGATGTATATATGTTCACAACCACATATGGGATAACATGCGTATGAGTAGGATAAATATTTTGTGCTAGTAAAAGCTGTTGCTCCGAAAAAAATGTTGACACAGACACAAACAAGCATTCTTACAGCATCACATTTGGAACAACCAGTTGACAGAATCCTAGAGCCCCTGCTTCACATGCCAGAAACATATGCATGCCACCCCGCAGTCCCCACCATCGAGGTAGAAACCAGGTTCATATCCAGCCTGGGTAAGCTCTACATCCAAGCTTCCCTCAGACAGAACTGTCAGCGGAAGGACTCAAATGCCCCCCTTACAACACAATTTTATGAATGAACACGTCAAAAAGCATGTAGGTGATCCTTACTTTTTCACATTATTTTGCAAATCACAGAAAAAAAAGAGCCCATCACTATTTAATGAATAAGCGAGTCAAAAGACATGCAGGTGCTCCAGAAATTTAGCAAACATCAAACTTACCAAAGCAGCAGCACATATTATAGAAGCAGGCTCCAATCCAATAGTACGTGACATGGGTCTTCTTCTATCAAAGGGTTGAAACTGTGTGACAAGTGGATTGAAGTCTAATGGACAAAATCCAATATGCCCGATTTGCTTTCTGGATTTAACCTCTGTTCTCACTGTGACAATGATAAGTCAACTAATAAGTACCATAAAACCACAACATGCTCACAATCCAAATCTGAAAAAAATAATATTCATGCATATGTGCACACACATGAGTATGATGAATCTTTAAAAAGTCCTTAAAATGATGCATCAGTGCTGAGTGTAACTGCAATGGTATTCAAACAACTTTCAGAAACTAATATGTCATCCCATCGCTCATTTCAAAAATGAAGCTAATATGCCATCTCAATGCTCATTCCACAGATTCAATGAGTGGAGGAACACAATCGAATCCAACGTAGGTACATACACATACTAGAAGTACCAGTGCCAACATAACCTTCTTTATATATCAACAGTTTTAAAGAGTGACAGAGAGCAAACTCATATATCCTCGCCAAATGTTATTACCGTCTAATTCAAATGACAAGTATAGTTACGCCACTTTCAATATCACATATACAAATTAAAATCTTCCATATAGGTAAGGTAATGGAATAGATAAAGACATACCTATTGGCAACGTAGCTGGGCAGGCTATAGCATTTGCAGTCAAAGAAGACATCTTTGATGTAAATTAATAAAGTCACCTGGATATTTAACGATTTGCATTAGGCCAGAAATCGTGGTATAAACTCTTGATGACTTTGATTGAATACAAATTCAAGTAATGATGGCTTATATACGACTTTCAGAGAACAAGAAAGCTAAAAATCAAAGGTTATCTGAAAAAAATCAAAAGAAGTGGAAATAAACTTTTATTTCAATTAAACAAACAAAAATCAGCAGCCTATCTAGTGTTTGGATAGAAGAGGTATTCCCCGTTTTTTTGCTAGCTTTAAAAAGTAATTTCCTCTCTAACACAGAGCAATATTAGTATATTACAATAAGGTAGAGAATTATGTGAAACATTTTTTCTCCAGATATTTTGACAGTATTTTTTTTGGAGGATGGGGAAGAGGATGAGATTGGAACCCGCAACCGCCTGGCGGAAGTGAGCCCCTACCACTGGCTACTCCATCACCTCAGCATGCCCTGCTTACAGGTTCAATCAAACGTAAATTTTGCTTTACATTTAGTCCTAATAATGAACTCAAGATGCCATTAAATGAATTAGATGACCAGAAAGAAAATTATTTGTAGGCTTCGGTCTAGAACATCCAAAATTGAGCTCAAAGTCATCTCATTTACACCTCGGATTTGTTTGTCTGATAGAAGATGCTTTTCAAGAAGGAAAAGAACTATATTTCCCAAAAGAAAGATCTTTTTCCGTAAAACAATGAACAACACTTCTTTAAGTGAACATAGCCAATCTTCTACCATAAATCACCGGAATTGTCCGGTGACACGAAATGGATTAAAAATAGAAAGTTCAAGAAAAGGAGTTGGGGTAAATCTTCAGCTGAAATGAAACGAATACTAACTCGAAAATCATAAGTAATGTGACAATGAATTACAAAAGCCCTACATACAGATCAAATAAATATATATAACACGATGTTTCGTTCATTTATGGAAGTCCGACACAGAGGGAGGAATTATACCTCTAATTGGATCGAAATTAGTGGATAAAATCGAAGCTCCGGTTCGGGATGGCGTAGATAGAGACTGATGCGCCGCCAAAGAAGAGGAGAGGACGACAGCCTCCGTCGACGGAGGTTTCGGGGATAGATAAGCGGAGAGAGAGTCAGGGGCGTTCCAGAACCGCCTCTAATATATTCTTTAATAAATTACACTACCATCCCTTGAATTTTTTCTTTTTGACGCAATTACCCCAGAAAAATCTAAACAAAAAGATCCTCTGTAAAATATTATATCTGCAAAAAACCAATATTTAAATAACTAACATTAACTTCTTATTTCCGGTTAAAACAAAATTAATGTGAGTCGAGTCCCATTACTCTAGAGATCTTTTAAGCAATTGATGTTTCTATCATTAAGATGATTGACGATCTCGGATTTTCTCATTTTACAAACATGACAAATTAAATATATGTATCTATTGCTGCATCTTTCATTTTAAATGATTAGATTCGTCGATTTCGGGACTTTCAGTCAAATGTCAAGTGATATCTTTCTATTTTTATCTCTTTCTCTTTTACTCATTAAAGATTTTGTTTACATTGCAGATGACACTCTCTTAACCTTTTCACACCGTGGGTTTATGCCTTCATCCTGAATTCTTCATGATATCCTTTGGTTAATCTCATTTTGCACTGTGAAAAACACTTCGATTCTTAATTTACACTTTCAAATATTAAAAATTTTAATTTGTACACTCAATGTTACGAATTGGTAGCAATATGTTTCATATGAATTGTTGTTCAATTTTCCAACATAATTTAACGCACGTGAGTTATAAATGCTTCAAATATAGACATATGTATAAATTCACAAACTATTATTGTCTTATATGAATTGCACATGATAGAATTTGTCTTTATTTTATTAATAAAATCTTATTTTCGATATACAAGCCACTGTCAAACAATGTTCAATTAATCATAGGCGAAATCCTACAATGATGGGCATACCTCACCATCATGCCGAAGCACTTACATCTCACATTTAGCCACCGTAGCTCACTGATACATCATTTACCACGAAAGAAAATGGAAACGAAAAAAACAACATTAGAGGAATCTTGAATAATTTTATTTGCAACTTCTCAACTCGAACAGTAATGAACCCCAAACAGACATTTCCAAATGGGTATTGGCTTCATGAATAAGCAAATCTAGTGAGAGTGGTTGGCAGCATTTCTGTGATGCCGGCACCGGAAAGACCCAGCATGTGTCGTCGGCGAGCAAAGACAATGGCCTTGTGCTTTTGATGGTTTCGTCAACCCTCCTGGTCCTGGTGATGGCGCATTATTAAGCACAGCCATCTGGTTCTTTATTGCTTCTATGTCTAGTCTTGGCCCGGCAAACTTTCGAGGCTTGTGCAGCTCTTCATCCATTCTCGTACGATTATTGCAAACAAATTACTTAATGCAGCTGAAAAAAAGAAAGAAGTTTCTGTTCATTTTACAAAATAACACCCTTTATGTAATCGTTAATAAGTGTCATCGATTCTTATTGCATAGATAAATTTTTACAATAGTTTGAGATCACTGTATCACAGTAAAAATTATGCAATTTGTTCATGCAATAATGAACAAGGTTAGAATGGGATTGAAAATGTATCTGACTTATTCTCTCCGAGTTCTAAGCCTGTAAGTGTTCAAATAGAGGACAAGACTTTTTATGTGCTAAGGTATTTGTGGTGCGTATTTGAACCTAACTCATTGGGTTATTTATACCTTCTATCAGGATGAGGTGGCAACATAGGGGTCTTATCAAGCCGATTGAGGGAACCTCCATAAGAGTAATCATCAATGAGCCATACTTTTCTCAAGTCGTGCAATTACTAGGCTTGGGAGATGTTGATGTTTTCTCGAGATCTAGTCTTGCAATGATTATCTTATCTCGGACGCCGAACACTCAATGTACGTTCCCTTAACATTTAATAATTTCTACAAAGCATTTATTAAGTTGTGGTATTCACTCATTGTGTTGTTATCGAATGTTTGATTCGTGTTAGTTGATTCGGATGATAACTCAACCCAAAAAATGTTGCGTAATTTTTAATAGAAAATTTTTTGAAGCTTAGTCTATGGAGCGAAAGCTTTGACCGATAGGTTTTTTTTTGGGTCTGTTTTTTTGTAACCCGGTGCAAGCCATATAAAACATGTTTCTTTTGGGTGATTAGGGTTGATTGACTCTGTACGGCCGTCGCCCTTTCTGTAATCGTTCTTGAAAATAGTGAAACTCTTGTAACTTCGTGGACATAGACAAATTGTCGAATCACGTATATATTATCTTGTGCGTGTGATTGTTTTTCTTTGGTGTATGTTTTCTATATTGTTGTTTCTCACAGGTTTGAGAATTTCTGTGTGAATTTCCTAACACGTGTGTCCTTGAGAAATTCACGACAATAAAAGTTATGTTTGTTATTCAAATTTTATAAGATTCAAGGTCCATTTTGATGTTACTTGTCTGTTAAAACAATCATCCTCTGTGACTCGTTGTATCAAGGTGGACTCATATCCTTGCCCAGCATTAAATACTCGCCCCTACGATGCACTTTTTGCCCTTCGCATATTGGAGTATGTCCCTCTAGGTTCTGTCGATGTTGCATTGTTTATGTCCACCTTTCATGCTCTAATATGAAAGTCGTTTCGTGTCCGGTTGCTTAAATTTTTATTTTTGTATTGGAATATGTTCTTCCACTCAGATTAAATGTTCATGCTACAAAACTGTTTGTGTTTGATTTTTTGTTGGGTGAAATGGAACTTAACCGCCATGGAATCAACAGAATTGATGATGATGATGATGAATCTGTATGATTCGTCCAATTGACAAGGGGACTTGTCCCTCGTCCCAAGTATCTTGTGATCGAGAGAAAATTTGATGATCCAACGAAAAATTCATGCACTACTAACTTAAACCTCTGTTTAATGTAAATAAACAATTGCATATCTATATACACAGAGCAAAATCAAGAAAAAATATTCATGTAATCCATGTTAAATAATTTAGACAAGACTCGGGATTCATCTCGTTTTTCGATACTCGTGTATGATTATAATAAATTTTCAACTACTTACTGCACAAAATTAACCACATTACCTGGACACCATGCAAGGAGATATGAACCAGCAGGAGCTTACCGGGCTGGGATATCTCCTTGTTTCCGCCCAAGGACACGGGTATGAGAGACAGAGAGAGTAATTTCTCCTGAAAGAGAGAGGGGTAATTTTGAAGTTGACCCCAAAAAGGGTAAACCCAAGTGAGGAATATGAGAAACTTTGTTAATAGCTTTCTGGCCTCTAACCACCTCTAGTTTTCTGTTTGCTATAACAAATTTGATGGTCATTCCTAATCAGCAATTTGCCACCACAAGTTCTATTCCTTCTCCAAACGCCGTAGTTACAGATTTTTTTTTTTGCTTGGGAAAAAAAAGGGTGGTGGCAAAGGGGAATAATAAAAAACCAAATCACGAGACTCCTAACTAAACCCATTACTCCTCTCGGAATACTGGAGCTTACTTCTTTTTAAATGATACCTGCGTTGGTACACCAAAAGAGAAGCATATATCAACATTCGGCTTGTGGTTCACAGGCTACCCCTAAGTCAGGTGGCCCATCGGGCAATGACTTGGCCCGGACCCTGGGCAGCCCCAATAGCAAGGCACCCTTATGGAAGGACCAAAATATTTAGGTGAATAGTTAGCCCAAATAAAAGTCTAAATTTGTAAGAACATAAGGCCCACAAATAAATTAAGTAGTTTGGGCCATGTATCCAACCCATTAAATATCCCATAGAAGTTAAAAAAAAATAAAAAATTTATGGATAGCTACTATATAAACTACTTATTTGTGGTAAAATATCATGCGAAAACTCTACCGTAGATAAGTACTCATACTTGTAAATGTCTTGAATCTAAATACATATTGATAGTTTTTTAAATATTTTATTTTACCTAAATACCCTTTTCTATAATTAATGGATAGTATTTTTAGACAGTTATCTTATTTGTGAGATTTGATTTTATTATATCCACAGATTCCAATTTTAATGGATGAGGGAGGACATTTAAATTTTGAACGTGCATCTTCTTCTTCCTATTTAACGTATGGTTTTCTATCTAAGTCATTATCAATTTTTTCATCAATAAACAATATCATCATCTGTTATCACTGTGATTTTCGTCGTTCCATTCAAAAAATTCTATTAAGATATTGTTACAAGTATTATTTCACAGGTCATCTCAACGGATTTGTAATTTTATAGTTGAATGACATCAAGTTTGGATATATATGTTCTATGTTAATATAATGACCCGTTGATTTCAAATGCATAGAATTTAACGTCAACAACTAAATGTTTTTCATGTTATTTTTTTAAGTTAATCAATTGTGGTTGTGTCTTCCGTTAGTGTCCAGCGTGTTGTTAAACTGTGACACAATGTTTCTTATAATGTGACAAGCAGCGTTGGATACAACAACTCATTATTTTTATGTCACATTGTATCAAGCATGTCATTTAGTTTATGAAACAGTCAGACAATGTAAATATACATTATTTGTCATAGTATTACAAATAGAATAGTGTCAAGCGAGTGTTATATTGTGTTCTTTAAACCGCATTTGGGGGGGGGGGGAGGACTCGTAAAATACTTCCGCTAATAGTAGAGAATCCTCATCACAGAAGAGTGTATACAAGGTTATAACAGTCTTTTTTACTACTAAATGGACATTTTTTCAAAACATTTTTTAGAGATGATTTTTTCACAAATAAATGTCTTATGGTATATTGGCTTTCAAAAAACCAATAAGTAATCTACCAAAAGGTCAACAACCCAATTCTTAACTAGTTACTCTCTCTATCTCCTATAACACAATCATCACACAATCATCATATTAAACAATCTTCTTTACACATCTAACACTATTGAAAAAAAACCTTCTTACTTTTGTAAACACAAAACCACTAATTTTGTAGGGAGATTGATTACCCAATTTTGAAAGTTTAGATTTGCTTTTAGTGCTAAATATTTTTCAAAAAACTTTACAAATAAGAAAAAAAAATACTCTAATTGAGATACTAAAATATATGAAAATGTTAATTTTTTTTTCAAATGCATTCATTATTTGCAGAATATTATTGACAGTTTTTATAACAACTGTTTATGCAAAAGAAAATTGTTTCAAATAAAATTTTATTTAAGATCAACTACTTTGAGGAGAAAAATTAAATAGATTATCGATTATATTAACAAAACCTCATTATAAAAATCTAAGTAGTACTTTTACATCTCAAAAAACAACAAAAAAAAAATATTTTAGAAAACTTTTTATTATTAGTAGAAAATAAATAAATCTCATTTATATTTGTCGGTTTTAGGTCTCATATTATCTTGGGCTACACCCGCTCGGGCCGAGCCTTTATCCTGTCGAGGGTGACAAGTTTGTATAGCATCCAAAAGGCCAATTCAAACCGGTTGGGGCCATCTTTCCTCACGGCAGGACATCCCATACAGTATGAAGTGCACTTTGCAGTTTGGTCTTTTGTTGTGGCTTTTCTTTGCCTGGTTAGTAAATTGTTATGAGAAGTTTTGGCCAGGTTAACACTAAATAACATGTAACTCAAAGTGGATGCCTAGAGATTTTATGCATACATAGAAAATTGGGTAAAGACACAAAATTCATTTTATTTTTCCTCGAAAAACAGAAGCAAAATAAACATTGGAAGCGACAATTTGCTGCATTCTCGGTCATTGCACAGGAATGCAGCTAGTTTATTTGAGTAGTATTACAGCTTCCTGATCTACAATACAGCAAGCAAGTAAAGGGAGACTCAGAAGCCAAAGCAAGAAAGCTGATGTCCATAAGATACAACACAACATCCCAACATTTCGGGAATGAATATTTTCAGGTTTAGACTTTGAATCTCTCTCTCTTACTTCTGCCTCTGATATATCTTTGCCAAGAAAGATTTCAACACTGCTTGTACTGCTGTACTTGAATGAGCTTCAATGAATTTGATTAGCTTTTCATAACTCTTGCTCTCATAATCTGCAAATACATCCTGCACAATTTCCCCAAGACGAAAAATGTGGGATATCATTATCAACTTGCTGTTTTCAAAACTTAAATAACTTTCAGTCACTGTAAAGCAGGAGATAGTAAACCTGAAGATTGAGAGTTTCATAAAGCTCCTTCACTTTTGCTACACAAGCTGGATCCTGTTTACCATAGTTCTCCTGCGACAATGCTTTACCTGGGTAAGCAAATCTGATTCTAATCGCAGAAATGAAAAAACAGAAAGATAAATCCTTTCTTACATATAATAACTTCTTTTGTTCCTCGTTCACAAGTTCCAGTGCTTTCACAACCAACCAGGAGCACTTAAAATCTTCGATATCAGTTCCAATCTGACAGAATAAACAGATGACATAAAGATTACTAGTTCTGTATCTAAAAGAGCCTGAAATCAATAAAGATATGCATTAGCAACATCCAATTGAAGATATTCCTGGAATTTACCTTACCAATCACCTCAGGATCACCAAAACAATCCAGATAATCATCCTACAAAGATACCATTATCAGCAGCAGAACGTCAACTGAGTTTTACTATAGCCTTTCAGCAAAGGTATCTAAATGCTCTGTTTAGATGCTGAGAAGGCAGTAAGGCATCAGAGTGATGTTCCAATATTCCAACTTGCACCAAACAGAACAATAAATATTGCATCATGCAAATAGCACTGACCTGCACTTGAAAATAAATTCCCATTTCAACAAGTATGTTCCCCACATCAACATGATTGTTCAGATTCTCACCCGCCATAAGAAGGGCACAGGCCACCTTGACACGGAAAAAAAGTCATTATCAACTTTAGTTGCACTTGCCAAGGGTGTTGGTCATTCGGTAACCATATGCAAATTAAATTCAAGAAAGACGCTAGTTCTGCAATGTCTAACCAGAGCAAACAAACGTTCGGAAACATAGGAGTGTCATTTAAAAACAAAGAGCATTATTTTTACAAGAACAAGGTCAAGTCAGAGGTGTGCTCAATTGAGAACTCTGAAAAAAAATATATCTATAGAAAAGAATGTAAATATGATCACTTGGAACAGAACACCATGAGTTAGGAAAGCATTGAAAAAAAAAGGAATTCCAACTTACTGGAAGGTAAAATGAGTAGTAAGCAGTTTTGTACTGAACAATCCGACGGTGACTGCATAAGAACGCAAAATTAAGTACATCAGAAAACACACAAAGGGCATCACTTCTTGTAGAAGTTAAAATAACTAGAACTTACAAAGATAGAAAATTCTCACTTACAGAGGCAATGAGTACTTTGATAGATCTTTTTCTCCTACCAGTGTGGTGATCAGATCTATCATCTGTCCAGAGGTCGTCTGGAATTCTACCTGTTCAAACATGATCAAGATTGATTTGCACGTCTAGGAAAAAATGTACTTCACTGGTCTTATTAAATACACAAGATTTCACCTCATTAAATAAATCGAGCAGATCCACATAATAAGGTTTTTCTCGGAAATGCTTTTTGAGTATTCTTGGGATATGGTTGCGAAGTAATATCCCATCATTTGCAGCAATCATACCAACCTAGGACATATGTTCAGACACTGATTATTCACTGCAATCACAATCATGATAATAGAAGTGATAGAACAGTAAAATAAAGGATGGTAGGTAATTTCTCAGTAAGGTTTCCACCTTCGGTAATCTGTACCAACAGAGTTGACCACGCCTTGTATGAGAGTTATCCATGATATCATCGAGAACAAGAAAAAATGCTTGAAGCTGCAAGAGTCATTGCAAGTTTTAAACTACACATAACCATAGGGGAGCTACTAATACAATGGCTGTCACAACAAACTACGACGCGCTTGGCCACAAATAGGAAAGTTACAGTGTCAACATACCCATTCGATGCACCAACCAAGCGCACAAGCCAGAAAAACTTCATCGTCGGTCAATTCTTTTCCTTCTTTCAGCAACTTGTAGCTGTCAATAACAGAAAGCCCTCGGTTCAGCTTTCCTGCAGGTAAAATACATCAGTATGAGCTGTTAAACATAGCATGCATCTCTTAAAGATACTGTCAGAGCAAAATTTGTTCTCTTCTCATGGAAGCAGGAACTCCAGAAGAATCAGGCCAGTGAAAATGAGGTCAACAAACTATTAGATCATAATTGAGGTAACTATCATGTTCCCACCTCCAGGTACATTGTAGTCCAGCATCTGCAATGAAATGGGAACACCGACACAATTAAACGCACAGAAACGGCTGGGCACAACTCAAGGTAAGGAGCAGAAATAACAGTAAGCTCTTCAATAGTATGCAACAATAACCAATAACTTATCAGATACATCTAGAAAGTTGAATTCTTAACTTATAAAAACACAACAATGGTCAAGATTAATCTAATTTTTATCTACTTTAATCCAACGGTACATAATTCATCTCAATTCTGCCCCCTCCCTTCAAAAACATCATTTTCTTTTTAATACCTTCAATATAAAACAACTCAATCAGCACACTTTCCAATACCAAATAACCTCACTAATCCACACCTACCTCTATATTTTCTCTCCTCAGCTTCTCTTTTATGTTCTTTCTATTAATTTTAATTATAAATTGCATAATTAAATAAAAAATAAATTATTTAAAATGCAACATTTGCAATATCAATGTTCAATTTTGGGTATTGCCGAGTGCCTTAAGGCATGGGGTTATTGTTAATTCACTTATATTTATATAAAGGCACACACATACACAGAACCAATTAAAAAGATGCCAGGTTCGGACTGGTTCAGTTGGTGAAAAAAATTCTATAATGGTTTCTTTTGCCAAATATACCCAAAAGAAAGCTTGTTCTTCAGTCCATACTACTAGGATGACAACAACAAATGAAAGTTACTGTAACAGTCCAGATGTGAAGATATTGCTCATGAAATTTTTATCAAATGAGAAGGGAAAAAGGGATATTTCTAACTTAAAATTACTCCACAGCCTGGACTCCTATAGACATATCCACGCATAACCATGATGTACCGAGTCGACAATTTGCATGCCAATGGGCCATTTATCTGCACTTTCATACGTCTTTCTCAATCTTTTGACTAAAGTTGTAAAATTATAAACATGATATAGTTGATCATTAGGCACTTGAGTCTGAGAACAGTAAAAATCAAATATCCGCCAATTAAATATGTATACCAAAAGTACTAAAAACTGACAAAAATATTCTCTAGAAACCCAAATTTCTTTGAAATAGAAAGTTACTTGAAAACCTAATAGTTAATAGTTCTATAAATTAATGATTTTGTACCTCCCATCATTATTGATTACAGAAAGTCACATGTATATTCGAATCCTTTCTTCAAAACAAATGGTAGAACAAGCAGGGCATCATATGTGCCAACAATGAGAGAGAGGTTAAAGTGTTATTTTTTCAGAGAGTTGTAGAATATGGACTTCCCATAAATTAGCACTTTGTACCATAGAATATAACAAGTATATGATTTTATAAGATCAGTCCCATAATTCATAGTTTTCCTTGAATGTAACCTCCTCATTCACCCTTCTATTTTCTATTATGGATTCCAATACAATTACTCATATACTAATCCTTTGATCAATCAATTTTCATCATAAACAACAAACATATCAAGAAAGCATTCAACTAAGAATCCATCTGAGCAAAGTTACAAAAGACCCCAAAAAAAAAAGATCAAAATTTAAATTTTAAGGTACAAAACCAAATGTTTTGACACAAATAACGTAAAATTAAAATATATTTAAGTCAGAATCCGACATCTGAGACCAGACAAAATAAAGCCAACCCCTTAAACGCATAATTCAGGGGAAAAATGTGCACATTTACCAAAGAAAAGGGCATATGAATGTTCATAAGTGTACCCATAAGCAGAGATCAATAGCAGAACTCAAAAGATTTTATGTAATTTAAATGATTACCCGTTCGACCCATTGACGAGAATCGTCGGTGAACTCGAAAGCAGGGTCATTGAGTAGCTCCGATTTCAGGATTGAGTAGACCTCCAGAAATTTCAACTTCAGATCGCTCATTGTTCTCGAAAGAGGGAGAGAAAAAATTGCGAGCCTCCACAGATGGTCGAAATTACCGAGAGAGAGTGCGAGAGTGCGAGCGTGCGAGTGTGTGTGGTTGCCAAGAGTATTTGTAGGGTAATAGGACGCTGTACTTCGTTGAATGAGGAGTGGCTTTTACAGTCTCCACCCACCATTTTTTTATTATTATTGGAATGGGTAGTATACCAACCAGTCGTATAACGGAGAGTTTGGTTAGATTGCAGTAATTATCTTTTTTTTTTACGGGACAAATTTCAATAAGCATATTTGGCGGTGCTTTCTAATTAATCCTAGTTTATTTATATGAAATGTTGATTATAATTTTTATGATCCCTATTTGCTTATTTATTTGAGAGAATTATATTTAAATTTTTTGAAGTTTATCACTTAATTACTCAGAGTGTTTGTTATTTAAAATATTATATACAGACCATGAAGTTTGTACTTAAGTGTGTGCAGAATATTCGTTAGTAAATTACACTCAGATGCCTTAAAGTTTGTAGACATATAATATTTTGATTCTTCAAGTTTTAAAATATTATATATTTAGACAAAAAATACTTCAACCAAAGATAGAATATCAAATATTTTAAATTTTATAACAAAAAATCATATTTTATTGTATCATTTATTGAAATAAAATCAAAAATAAAAATTTAAATTTTTTCTTAAAAAATCATAATTAATATATCATTATACTATCTATTGAAATAAAACTAAAAAATTAAATAAGGGATCTAAGTCGTTCATAATAGAATAAGAATTTTACAACTAAAATTCATGTTCTATTATATCATTTATTGAAATAAAATCTAAAATAAATATTTAGTTTTGTTAAAATCAGTATGCAGTTATACTTTCTTTTAAAATAAAACTAAAAAATCAAACAAATGATCAAATTGTAATGAACATAATATTTTCTAGTTTTAATTAAGGTAATTTGGTAGTTTAAACGACCAAATAAAATTCCAATAAATAGTATAATTGTATATTAATTATAATTTTTAAAGAAAAAAATTAAAATTTTATTTCAATAAATGTCATAATAGAACATGAATTTTGATTGCAAAATTTAAAATATTTGATATTCTAGCTTTAATTGAAATATTTTTTTTCTAAATATAATATTTTAAAGTTAAGGGGTCTAAGTATTACACGTTTATAAATTTTAAGGGGTTTGAGTGTAATTTATTGGAAGATATACTAATGGACATCGACGGTAGATGTTTAAGTGTTACGTGTATATAAATCTTAGGGAACCTGTATGTAATATTTCAAATGCCAAGTAGTTTGAGTGATTAGTGAAAAATCTCAAGAAATCTCACTATAATTTTCTCTAATTTATTTTGATATTATTTATTAATGATATCACGTCAATATTAACATACTAACAAGAGAGGTGAGTTTGGTACGCATATGGGGAATGATTACTTGTGTGAGGATATGAATCAAACAATCGCAAGAATACTAACTACCCTACAAATTTTAGGATTTTTAAAGCAATCTTGGATGATCCGTGAGACCTGTAAGTAGAGACATTGATTTTGGTATAGTTTTCATACAACAAAAGGAGGATCTGCTAACAGTTGAAAATGGCCACCCGTTGATTGTCCATTGAGGTTGTTGAGATGTTCTTCGATTTGTCTCTGTATTAGAAATTAATTTGTATCTTGTGCATAAAACTTTCGTTAATGACAGTGTCTGAAAAACGTAAATCATGACTATGGTTGTGTTCGATAAAACTGAAAGCTGAAAGTTGAATACTGAATTTGTGGACTATTTGACATTTACTGAAATTTAAGTAATGAATTAAATCAAATTGTTTGATAACTACACAGAACTGACGTTTAAAAATAAATTTACTTTTAATTTTATCCTTTCACTCTTTAATTTAAAAATATTTATAAAATATATTTTTTATCTAATAAAAAATGACAATATATCAAATCAATAACAAATTGAATAATACAATAATTGAAAAATAACATCTGATCAATAGAAAAAGAACAACAATAAATAAATAATTGAATCATAATAAGTGAACAATAACAAATTAAATTACACAATAATAGAACAAAAACATTTGATAAAAAAAATAATAACTAATAAATAATCGGATAACAATAAATAAATAATTGAATTAAAAAATAGAATAAATTAAATCTCATTAATAATATATGTGTGTGTGCAGTGAATGTGAGTTTGTGTTTTAACATGTTTATTTGTAGTAGACGAGTGAAGAAAAAAAAAAAAGAAGAAGAACACCTATTATCTGTAGAAGACGATTGACAAGGAAGATAGATAAGTTAGAGATTTTGGAAATAATACTAATTAGAGTTTTAATATGATTATAAAATATTTTGGAGTATAATTGTTATATTATAAGTATTATTAAAAATAATTTTACTGAGCACTTTTAACTTTCAGAATTAAGTAAGGGATCTCCTACTTAATATTGTAGTTTATTTTAAAAGAGCACTTAGCATATTAAGAGCATTAAAATTTAGTTATCAAATTAATTTAATTAATAAGTGTTAAATATATATTATTTTAAGTATTAAATTTAAATTAATAAACACACCCTAACTATAGGAATTAATATTCAGGAAGACCAAAAAAAGTGTAGCAAAGCTGACCCACAACTTGTGCACAACACTCAAAAACTAGGATTCATCTTTTTTTGTCAAAGGATTCATCTTATTTGAAGAGCCAGTTTCACAACTTTTTCAACGATCTTGCTTTAAAAAAAAACTCTAATTTTGGTTATTTAAGTGGGTTGGTTAGATGAGAAATCAGCACCCATGACATGACAATAGGCGGCTGCTCAAGAAAGTCATATTGAGGGTTGCTGAATATTCAACTGTCTCCAAAAATTATGTCACGCAGAGTCTACGAATCTACCTAGACTAAGTAATAACAATGACAAGTTATAAATTTAAATATTTTAAATTTAAATTTTAATAATTTTTTAGGTATACTATATAAAGAATTTATCTCTCATGAATAATTTAATCTGGACATAAATGACTTATTTTTTATCTAACAAAAAAGAAAATTAATACGTAATCTAGTTTAAACACGAAAGAGAAAATAGGTGGTCTAATATTCAATTTTTTAACTTTAGAGAGTAATTAGGAAATCAACCACCTTTCAACTTTTTTTTTTTTTATTTTATTAATACTCACCAACCAATTAATTGCAATTGTATGTCTCCTGCATACTTAAGAGAAGAAATAAAAAGACAGCTCACTAGATAACGTTTCTACTGTCTCAGGGTTTGAAAAGAGAGAGATATACATAATCTTACTTTCGAGTTGAACTCACTGTGTGTAGACAACTATCATGGAGAAGCAACCAATCCAACTACCAAAACCCAAAGGAATACATGTCCTAAAATCATTGACACAATGTCACTATGTGAGCCTTTAATGTACAACAAACTCACTCACGCCATCCATAAAAAGAAGGAAACAAGGCTTGGAAAAAAAATTGTAGCTTTAAAAATCGTCAATAACAATAAAAACTAGAAAAGAAAATTCAAGGTCGAGGTTAATTTAGTAACTAGTAAATACTCTGTTCATGATAGAGAATAGTTATTTACTTACTTGTAAGTTTGTTATTTGATAGTTTGATATTTGTGATAATAATAATAGAGTATTATCATTATTATCATTACACTGAATAGCTACTCCGGGTCCAAGTATAGTGCAGAAATTGGGCCAATTTTTCTACGACACCGTTTTAATGGGTGACAACGTTAAATTAATAATTCATCATAAGTGGCAATGGTAAAAAAAGTAAATAAAAAGCTCTTATTAGAGATGACAGTGGACCGAGTAAAAATGAATATTCGTCTAAAGTTGTCCTGTTTGAACTGGGGATAAACCATACGTATTAAACAAATAACGTATACGAAGATACCCGTATAAACCTGTGTAGGGATGAAGGTGAGGATGGACAGACACTTACCCTTATCCTGCCTCCGCCCCGCCCCACCTCTCCTCGCTCTGCTCTACCTATTATATATATATATATATGTTGGTGTGAATACAAATTTACATATTATTAAATAATTTTTTTTTTTTTAAATTTTTTTTCATAATTTTGACTTGTAAAAATGTAGTTTTTTGTGTTTTTATATTTTTTTTATGCTAGATTATATTATGTTACATTATGTTGTGTTGAATTTACAAGGGAGATAAACTTTTAATTATATTATGTTGGATTTATGTTGTAGAAAAGATTTTAATTATATTATGTTATAAATAATAAATTTTTAATTATGTTATATTATTTAAATTGATAGATTTATTTAAAATTTTAAATTATATTGCCCTAGGTTTGAGCTTTCGCTTGGGCGAGTAAGGTGGACAGGAGTGTGGGCGGAGGTGAAAGCAGAGGCGGGGATTACATATTTATCGATGAATGGGGATAAAAATAAAAACTATAACCGTCAACGAAATGAATCAAGAATGAACCGAATTTTTTTAAACGGGTACGGACATGAAGCCAACACCCCCGCACGCCGTCCACTGCCAATCCCTAGCTCTCTTTCTCTCTGTCGCTCGCTCGCTCGCTCGCTCGCTTTGTGTGAAGTCTGGAGGGTCGAAGGGCATCATCAGAACGTAAATATCCTAATCTCTCTCCCACTCCATCTTCCTCTATCTCTTAGAACAATTTCTTTGTCATTGTTATCTAGAAAATCACCAAGCCCTAGGGTTCTAGTTTTAGGTTTAGTATTTTACCGACGAGAATCTATATTAGGGTTTGTTTCCCTTTCGATTGCTGCAATACGTTTAATTCTTGATTGTGTTAGGATTTCTATGAATGTATTCTGTGCTCATCCTTTGAACTATCACGTTAGAATTTTTTGGCATTCAATCAATCCCTGTATTTTGAACTCCCAATCCTTCACACAACAAATAATTGGTTATTTTCATTCACACGATCCATTATTGATGACTTCCTAAGGAACTCGGCTAAATAGCGCCGTAAGTTCAGAATCCTGTCACAAAGGGGGTTGCAGTGACCAGGCCCGGGCGACTGAGAGACAAAATTGTATTTCATCATGTTGGGTTAACTTGAATATGTTTTTAATTCACTTGAAATATATGGGATTGCTGTTCTCAGCTTTCCTTTCTGCTTGGATTTTTTTTTTTTTGGCTATACAAGTTCTACATATATTTGCTTTGCTGTTTTCAGTCTATTGAGAATACTTAGACACCATGACGACTGCGGCTAGACCCACATGGGCACCTGCTAAAGGTGGTAACGAACAAGGCGGTACTCGAATTTTCGGCCCATCTCAGAAATATTCTTCAAGGGACATTGCATCTCACACAACCCTAAAGCCAAGGTTAGAACTTGGGAACTTTTTTATAGAATTTCAAGTATGTTGTTTTATTCCAATTCGCAAAACTTTCATTCTGATTTTAAACTTGCTGCTACAGGAAGGAAGGGCAAGACACCCATGATGAACTGCAGAGGAGGAATCTCCGCGAGGAGTTGGAGGATCGTGAGAGGAGGCATTTCTCTTCAAAGGATAAGGCCTATATGGGTAAATGGGTTTTTGGCGATTGCCTTTTGTCACACATCATTTCTTTCATTTGATTCCATGTCATGTCATTACTAAATTGTCTTTGTCTAAACTTGTATGTGAATGTTTGCAGAAGACAGAGACCACCGGAGGAAGGGAGGCCATCTTTTACTGGAAGGTGAATCAACCCGTTTTTTTGAATGAAAGGCTAAAATAGAACACTTTATACAACATATTTATATGCCTATTTTTAGTCAACTAACTCCATAGTCAATTTACAGGGACAAAGAGGGAGGTTGAAGATCGCATCATTCCACGCAATGCAGATGCTGATGATGCTGATGTGGACATCAAAAGTGACGATGAGAGGTTTTTACTCTTGGCAACTATATTTATTTTGATCATGTCAATGCTAACGATGCCCACCGGTGTTATTCAATGATCAAAACACATGGTATACGACTCTTTGCAAGTTTTGGCCTATACTTGGTTATCAATCAAATTTTGTACTGTGAATTTGTTAAAAGTATCTCTATGGTTCTTTTTTTCCCCCCTCCTTTGTCATTGCAAATGTGTGGGGGCCGTGGTGTGTGGGTTCATTGCTAAGAATGTCCTGTTTATGTTTTTGGCAGGAGGACAACTTATTTCAGAATGTTCTTTTAACTGTGTGTGGTTATGTTTGCTGTCTGTGTGTGGGTGTGTTTATAACTATCAATGTGTTTTTTCCACAGTTGATTCCTTTGCCTTTTTGTTATATTTTTGTTGTTGAAGTGGCTATTCATGACTTCGTCAAAAATTGTTGATAAAAATTTTATTTTTGTTGTTAGATTTCTTTGGTTTCTGATATACTTAGCTGTTGAAGGCACCATCATTGTTTTGTGAAAAATGTGCTCAATCATTGAAATATCGTGGTTAGTGAGGACGATGACGACGATGATGACGAGGATGACACAGAAGCTCTTTTAGCTGAGCTTGAACAGATAAAGAAAGAAAGAGCTGAGGAAAAACTCCGAAACGTAAGTTTTCTTCATGCAATCATGTCTGGCCTCTCACGGCATTTTGTCTTTTCTGATTACCTTAAACCGTGATTTCCATTAATATGGTTTGACATTTTTAGTTAAAGGCACAAAAGACATGCCTTGAAAGTTAAGATGAAAATTATGGTATCCTATTCTGGGTGTTTGCATCAAAATTCTAACTTGTACGTTTTAAATTATGCTGCATTTCCATCAGTAAACTCTACTGGCTGGTAATGAGTTTCTGATTCTGAAACTAGTCAATGGTTTTAGGGTATGGATTTTTTCAATAAATGACGACTGCATGGTGTAGGTAATTTAAAAGAATAGGTTTGAATAATTATTGATGTGGTTTATGCTTGCACAGGAAAGGCAAATGCAAGAAGAAGAGTTAAAAGCCAAAGAGGCAGAACTGTTACGAGGAAACCCTCTGATTAATAATCCAACATCCTTTAATGTGAAACGAAGGTTGGTTGTCTGACAAACTAGTTACCCCTTTGGTTGTCCTGTTCTATAAGTTGAGTTTAGGCCTGATTCTGTTATATTTTCTAATTGTCCTTTGCACAGGTGGGATGATGATGTGGTTTTCAAGAACCAGGCTCGTGGTGAAACCAAGACTCCCAATCGCTTCATCAATGACACCATCCGAAGTGACTTCCACCGAAAATTTCTGCAGAAATACATGAAGTAACTGGACGGTTTATGTCAAACAATCAGAGTCAGGAATTCTATTATGAGGAAATCCAAGAATTTCTGGATTGTTGATCATTGTATGTAGTCAGCAATAATATTGATGTGGTTGAATTTGGCAAGAGAAGGATTTGTAAAATCAAGTCGATACATCGACACATCTTATTCTGTGTGAAACTGGTAAGAGCCAATTTTATCTTCTGAATTAGTTTGCCCTTTGTCTTCTGCATTTTGCCCACTTGATGCCATTTTTCTTTGATACTAAGGATTGATGTATTCTGTAATTTGTCCTTGGGTTTCTGTTGTTGGCTATTATCTACGGATTGAACTAATGAATTGCTAAATATGTCGACTTCCAACTTTATGTGCATGAGCTACTCTCTTTGACTTGTATCTATTATTGCTCAACTTGTGGTATAGATTGTTTGATGCAGTGAAGGAGCTGATTTCACCAGTGCCTTGTGTCCATATCTTTTCCCGATATAGCTTGCAGAATTTAGTGCCTGAATCACGATTCTCAAATTGCAAAAGGGATCTGATGAGGAATTAGACATTTTGCAAGCGAAAAACAAAGAGGGAAGTCCAGTTGTTTAGTTGTAAAGCTAGGATTTACTAGGTCCTGTATAACAAAATCGACAAATGGGTTGAAAACTCCAGCTGCCACACTGACTCTTTAGTATCATTTACAACAAACTAGGCTGCTTATGTACTGTTTCCCTTGCTGGTTACAAGATATACAACTCAGGTTTGACCTCAGAAATCTATCTTTCCATTGTTTGAGGTCCCAGTAGTGTTCTCGTGCAACTCTCAAATTTGTCAGTGACACAAACTACATTGAATCTATCAAGTGCTGAAAAAATTATCTGAACTTTAGTCCCGAGATTGGAAGGATAAATATTTTCGTTGGTTTCATACTCATCAAATGGCCACACTGGTTACTATTTAAAGAGATTTTGCGGTGAAGAAGAGATGTAACGAAAACTTCTCTATTTACGCTCAAAGAAAAAAGAAAGAAACAAGCACAAACTCCGTGGAACAATACAGAGACACAATATGGTAGCAAAATTTAATAAACATGTTATGTTGGGGCAGAGAGGGCCACAAACACATTGGCGAAACTCGCATGCTTGAACCACTGATTTCCCACCTGGCCAGCTCAACTAAGGTGCATTAGCTCTTTAACAGTCCGCAAACATTTTTTCTTGGAAGAAAGCATTGAAAACTTACATTTGACTCTACTTGTTTGTTTCCTTTGGTTCATCCAAAACAAATTCTTGATACAGTTCCTTAAGTGCAATCCCAACTGTAGTTATCAGTGGCCCCATTATTGCTCCCTGCTTAACAAGAGATACATACAACATTCAAATCAGCTGTCCATGACAACCATGTCTGTAAAGTTATTCCAGGAGATCATACAATACAATTTAATGAGACAAATAGTGCAGAAAATTGGACAGCAAACGCTGCTCAATAAATAATAAAAAACTTTCAGTGCAAATTATCAAGGAGATGAGGTAAATCCTTAAAACATTCTTTTCTTTTTGAGATTGCAGCAAGTATTTATGGAAAAGAATCATTCCAGAATCAGTAGGGAATTTTTTTTTTTTGGTAGTAGGAAAATTCTAAGCATCTAAATGTGACTACAAACTCCTACACATCTACAAGACTAAGGGCCTGTTTGGTTTGCATCTCTAAAAACAGTATCCGTAAACAATTTTTGAGAAGAGTTTTAAAAAATATTTTTTGATATTTTTGTATTACAAAACTTGTTTGATTATATGGTTTTGAAAATATTTTAAAGTACAAAAAATAGTAAAACCTGTTTAGACAATAATTTACAACTAGTGTAAAATACACACACACACGAGTACATATCTTCTCAGAGCATCTCTCTCCATTGTCTTCTCACACAACACAAAAATACACACCCACAAGAGAGAGAACACACACACACACACACATAGATCTGTGTATATATACAGTATCTTTTCACAGCACACACACACATGTATATATACACACATAGATTTGTGTATATATACAGATTTGAATACAGATCTGTATATATACATAGATCTATACAGATCTGTTGCAAAGAGAGAGAGATGAGATGAGTTGCGTGATTTGCCAGAGCTGTGATTTGTGATTTGTTGGAGCTACGCAGATCTGTGATTTGCGGGAGCTACGGAGAGGGACACAGATCTGTGATTTGCCGGAGCTACGCCGGAGAATCTTGCAGGTTTAGTTGAAGGGGAGACACCATTACAGAGAGAGAACGTCAGGGAGAGAGGAAGACAAAAAAAAAAAAAAAACATGGCTAATTTTGCTGCCAAGGGGATTCGATGGGGAGACCTAATTAAAGAGTGAGATTGTTTTCCTTGTTTTCTATTTTTGGCTTAAAAACTCAGAAAACATCTAAATGATATTCTCTAGTTTTTGTTCTCAATTCCCACTTTTTTTGAAAAATTGTTTTTGAAAATTGCAACCCAAACAACATCTTACAAATTTTTGTATTTTGAGAACACAAAACAGTTTTCAAAACACAAATCTAACACACCCTAATTTTCTGAATTGAAGACCATCAACTTCAGGGTTAGATACAAAGAGCCTACTCATACTTTGGGATGGTTACACATTGTCCAAATACTTGCAGTTTCTGATACTAAAGGTCCCCACACAAATGTATAAAGTGCAATCGTCAACCATCACACTTACCATTACCGTCCATATAAACAGCCCATGTGCCGAGCAAAATCTTGAGACATTGTTTGGCTAAAAAAATTTAGTTTTTAAGTTTTAATCTAAATGACACATATCCTTTGATAGACTAATTCCTTTTCTCAGCCTTTTCTTCCCCCTTTGTCCTTTTTTTTCTTCTGCCCCCGACTGACATCCATACCGGCCACAAAAAAGGAAAAAACTCATTACCACCACTCTATACCCCTTCATCACTATTTTCTCTACCCTCAACCACTTTATTCCTCTCCTTTTTCTCCCATTATCTTGCATCTCAAGTAAAACTTTCCATCACCATCACCCACTCGTCAATCTCACCTCACAGTCCAGCACCAGCGCCCCCCCCCCCCACCCCACCCCCTTAAACCCACCTCAAAACATCACAACCAAAACCCCTCCACAAGTCATCAACACCCATCATTATTTCGATCAATAACAAGTAATATCTAAACCCACCTCCTATCAACGCTTCCGCCACCCCACCACCATCCAAACTCACCCTGTGCTACTACACACCAAAAATTGTCGCTATATGCATTGAGTTTGGAAATGATGGGGATACTAGCTGGTGGTAGTTTATGCAGCGGGGAAAATGAATTAGCAATTTAGTTGGCTCAATCAGAGACCCAAAAAATTAAGTAATTGAATGGTTGATGAGGGGGTTTCTATGTCAGTTAACGGACATTGAAAAATCAGAAAAATGAGAGGCATTTTAGATAACTGTCAGTCCTATAAAAGTTTGCAGTTTAGCCATTGGTTTAGAGAGAGCTCAGTGTAAAAAAGGGAAATCCAAGGGGTGAAGTGCAACCGGGCACCAATTACAACAGGCTCTTTGTAGTTTGTATTTAACTCTCGACTTTAATTTCATCTCAGGCACACTACACACGAATTATGCACAAGGAAAGCTCAACAAATTAAATATTCATGCATGGCACACCTAGACAGGAGGGAAGAATGAGTAAAAGAAAACACTAGCATGGTAATATTTGGGAGCGAAGCTCAAGTAGAATCATTATGAACAGTGAAGAAAGATTAATTTGCCATTTACCTCCACTGCAGATGGGAACAATGTCACGCCCCCAATAATGCTCAGCCCAATAAGATATGGACTATGACCAGGAATATCCTCTAGGATTTCAGAAGTACCATAATCCATAAGCACGAGATGGATAATGGACAAGCTGATGGCCAATATATATCTACCTTCCAGAACCAATTGCAAAGCCACTGGAATTGTTGAGAACCATGAGGGAAAGATCGGTAACAAGGGGCTGATGAATGCAACTACAGTAGACATGTACAAGAAGTGTACTGAGTATAGCCTAAACAAAAGCCAAGTAAGACATCCCTGAAAGAATGCAATTTCAGCAGTTGCCAACAGAACCCCTGAAATAGCTTTATCAAGAACTTCAACGCATCGAGTCCTTGCAGAATGTGAAATCGGAAGCATAGACATCACTTGCTCCGTTACCCCACCAGACTCTGATGTGATAAGATAATACAACACCCAGAAGAAAATCACCAACTCAGACACAAAATTGAAAAGACCCGCTGCTCCAGAGACGATGGAATTACCAATCAAAAACACCATCTTCGCACTCCCACCAATAACAGATTTACTGCTGATCAAAACCTTTTGCATCACATCCATTCCTTGACTGGCATATCCTTTTGCCTGCTCAACCAAATCCTCCCTGGTGATCAGCAATTCCCTAAAGAGTGCATCCACTTCTGAATAGATCTGTCCCCATTCTCGATCACTAATCCTCTTCCTCAAACTCAACATTTTTTCGGTGTATAGTGATGGGGCTGTCAAAGCCGTGGAACGCTCAGAAGAGTTTACTGTTTGAGTCACCACAAAATGCCTGATCCCAGTGACAAACTCTGTCATATTATACTGCATGGCCAAACTATCAATCTGCTCAGACACAGCTTCATAAAATTTTGTAGTGTACCTATCCACCATCCCAGGCACATCATTTTCATCTATCCATTTCTTAACACCAATTTTTTCGGCGTAATTACTCTCTTGTACATGAGATTTCAGCGCGAAGACAGCATCTTTACCCTCAAGTCCAATCTTATATGAAAAGAAACTCAATCCAGCCAAAGACCCCAAAATCATTCCAACAATCAACCCAATAGCCATAATGGTTTTCAATCTTTTCAATATCCCCAGAGTAAAATATGCTGTAATTGAATTGCGCCTAAAACTCTGACTCCTAAAAGATGTTACAGTGGACATGGTCGATTCAACACTACCAGAGGTGAACATGAAGCCTAATGCAAGAAGTGCTACAGACCCAATAACACCAATGTGCTCATAAGCCATCACAAACACCCAAAATGACACTAACCACCTGAGCAATATTGTAAACCCACTTCGATTCCGCCTCATAACGTCGGATTTCTTTCGTCGAAGAAGAACACGGAATAAAACATCCTTAATGTCAACAAGGGTACCCACAAAAACCTTCAATATAGTTATGGGTATAGCCAATATAGTTTCTGTGAGGCCTAATTTCAAGGGCTCGGACCAAAACCCAACAAGGGTTTGTTGAATTCCTCTCAAAGGGATTGAGCATAGCACAGCCCATTGTATGGGTCTCAAATATTCTTCAAGTAACTTATATAAACCATAAAGTAGAAAGATTGCGAAGGCCAGACCAGCGTGAGCCATGGCTATGTATAGCGCGAGACGTACCTGGAGGTCTCCTGAGAGTAAATTGTGATCTGGGTCTTGGATGCTGAGATTTGAAGGTGGTGTCGGTTGGGGTTCCGGCGACGGCTCGTGTTTCTCGGGTGATGGGTCTACTTGTCTGAGAGAGCTGGATCGGAACATGTCTTGCAATGGAGGAGAGGACGAGTATGACTGGGACGTCGGTTCCGAGTCTGGCACCTGGTCCATTTCACAGTTCCACTACACTACAGAGAAGAATCGATTTCAGACAGAGAAACTCTCTCTCTCCCTCCCTCCCTCCCTCCCAGAAAACGTCAGATGGGTGTCCAAATGTGATCTTAAATTCTGCTGAACATGACTTGTAGACATAAACATACACAAACAAAGAGAGAGACAGGACCAGAGGATCTCTGAAAGTGGGGAGTTCCAAGTGCGATAGAAATTGTTGTGTGTGTGTGTGTTTATTCTACTTCTTGTCCTCTAGCAATGGGGATTGATTCTTGTATATATATTCAATGAATAATCATGGACGACAGTACCTGAAAAGCTAATGCTTCCAAGTTCCAACGACAAGGGGCTTTGTGGAGACAGATTATCTTGTTCAGGTGTAACTGAAGAACATTTTGCATATGTTTTCTTCTAATTAGCAACTTAACCCCCCTTACTTTTTTGAAATCACTGTCATCTCCCTTAACTTCAAAATATTTGGGAAAATTGCCCCAATTATTTGTATCGTAATGTCCGAGGATGATGTACTTTTTTTCTAAACAAATTTAGTTTTTACGAAGTAATTGATAAATTCATCTCAATTCAACGATGAAACTCTTGCCGAAATGAAAATGAAGATCTATTTTTTTTTCTGATAGTAGAAAGCATAATGTTTGGAGAAAAATTATCGGGTATTTGGTTCAATGATACTCTTTGTCCTATAAAAATATTATTTTTTTATAATAAAGGATTCAAGTCCAACCTAAAAAAAAAATTATTTGGGAAAAAAATAGATTCTTTAATATCCTAGTAAAACCAAGGTCAATACTTTATGTTGTGATCAGTTAAGATTTAGCAAGTTGATCGTTCAACATTTCCAAACTTGAGGATGGAATTTTGAAATTAATGAATTGTTCCATTATTGCTCACTAATAGTTGAATCAATTGTGCAAAGTGGTCTAATTAAACAACATCTTGTTTCTATAAAAGTTTTTAAGAATAAAATTTGAAAAAAAAAAGAATCGTTTGTACAGGAATCGCCACTTTTCGATGTAGTTAAATCGGGCATTGGCAGGCATCTCCCATGTCCTTTCCTCAGTGGAGTATACTCTCGACATAGTTTCTCTAACATAATGAAACCAATCATTGCATAGTTGTACTTCAGAATTAAATGGATGAGTTGAGGTAGATATGTGTTGATTTAATGCAAACTTGAGGGGTTGTGGTTGGACTTAATCTTTTGAAATCGTATTCGCCAGTAAATTATTAAAATGCATCATTGTGATTTGGGTCCTTTTTTTGTGATTAGGAATTAGGGTTCTTCACTGTGGCCGGCAGATGTTGAGCTCGACAAAATCTGGGAAATTGGATTTGGCTGTATCAAATACTCTCCCCATTTCTAAATATATGTCGTTTTGCATAATTTTTTTTGTTCTATAATATCTGTCATTTTATGAAACTTAAAAATTAATTAATATTTTTTCTTCCAAATTTACCTTTAACTTTTCAATGCATTAGATTAGGTGGAGGTTAAGTGTCTTTCATATTTCTTTCATTTCCAATACATATTGAATAAGAGTATTTTACTCTTGTATAATTATTTTTTACTCATATTAGACCTATTTAATAGTTTCCTTAATTCCTGTACAAAAACCTTAAACGACAGATATTTAAAAACGAGGGAGTACGTAACACCTCTCTCTCTGAGTTTAAAATTTTAATTAAATGGTTGTTTAATATGGTATTAGAGTCTAGAAGTTTTAAATTCGAATCCCATCAAACTTCCTCTTTTTTGAAAAAAAAAGGTCAGTTGTCACGAACATTATTTAAAACATGTTTTTTGAGGAATAAGAATGGTTGACTCTAAAAAATATCAAAAGTGTTGAATCTGAGAAATATCAAAAGTGTTGAATCTGAGACTTTTGAATTATCAGATGTCAGTCTCATCTACTAAACCACTCTTAAGGATTTCAAAGAATTTATTTAATTATTGATGATATTCTTAAAGCTGAGAATAAAGTGTTTTTTCAAGTATGGTATCATAGGGAATTTTTAAAAAATAGGTTGTGAGGTTATAATTTTATATTGTGAAATTACATTAAGGCGAGGGTATTTGGATAAATCTTCATATTTTAAGATTGATCTTAATTTAAATTTGATGCAAAAAAAAGTATAATTAGTCTCAAAAATATAATTTATAATTTTTGGTAAAATCCCTTTTTTAAAAATATAATGACATTTGACTATCGTATGTAAACTTGACACATAAAGAGTGTTTTTTATTAATCAATTTAAATCATCTTTTTTATATATATAATAGAGTTGGATTTTTTATACTTTGTACCTTAAAAGACTTCAAAAAATTTTATTTTGCACTCTTAAATTAAATTTCTCACATTGTACTTTCAACGTATCAAAAGTGTTATAATATGACCATTCCGTTAGTTTTCTTTATTTTTTTGTCAAAAATCAACTCATTGATACTGACAAAAAAATTAATGAAAATTTTTATTTTGTATCCTCAAAAATTAAATTTTTCATATTGTATTCTCAATATATCAAAAGTGTTACAATGCAGTCCTTCTGTTAGTTTTTGTTATTTTTTTTCTTAAAAAATCAATCCATTAACACTGACGGAAAAACTAACAAATTTTTTTATTTTTCACCCTCAAAATTAAATTTTTTATATTATACCCTCAATGTATCAAAAGTGCTACAATGTGAATATTTTGTTAGTTTCCGTTTTTTTCCCTTCAAAAAAGTTAATTCGTTGACACTGGTAAAAAAACAAATGAAAAGTTCACAAAATTGTCGCATTACAATATTTTTGATATATTAAAGATAAAATGTGAGAAATTAATCTTTAAAACTATAATGTGAAAAAATTAATCTTTAAGGACACAAAATAAAAATCTTGAAGTTTGGTCACATGCAGGTGAAAATACTGAAAAAAAAGGGATAAAAATAGGTAGCTTAAATAATTAAAGTGAAAAAATTAGAACAATATGATCAAAGTGAATGATAGAATAATTAGAAGAGTAGTTCAAGTGATATTAAAGACGAATTATAAATTTAAACATTTTAAATTCGAATTTTGATAATTTTTTAAAATTAATCTGCAAAAAATTTATTTCTTATGAATACCCCGTAATAATCTAAAGAAAGAACTAAAAGAGTTGCATGTAAACTGGCCGGTCCAGACACCCTAACTGTTGGTAAAATAAAAAAATAGTAGAATTGGAATCAAGTGGGCCATCTCACTTGAGAGGGGCCAGATTCAGGATCCCTTATTTAGAGAACATCGCTTTGACTGTTTCTCATAAATGTTTCCTCAATCCCCTCGAAGACTTGTAATCTAAACTACTTATTTTTTAAGGTATTATAATGTGACTGGATTGTTGGGATTGTTAGTCTGTCACGCATTGTTTTATCACAGTGCTCTTCCTCATAACTATACTATCGTTACACTTAACCTCCACCAATACATCCTTCTCATCCATCATTCATGCGATTCTTTTCATTCTTTGATCATCATTATTGTGCGGGCTCGATCCTGCACGATGTATAAAAAATACTGGGAACAGATCTCTCCCCTGGTGAACTTTGGGTGAGCCGGTTGAGTGGCCAAGCACACTGCTCGAAACAGCTTACGATCCTGGGAAAGGAGGAACGATACTGTACGTGCGAAAGGTATTTCCTGGAACAAAAGAGAACAGGTTAGAAGGGCGCCGGAGTGTTTTCCGGCGTATCCCCTCCGACGATCTAGTCAGTCTTTGAATGAGAGAGAGGAAGGAGAAAACACTGAGAAGGATATTTCGTAGTTGAGAGTTTGTGATTGCATACCGTTTGCCTTTTTGAGAGGGGTATTTATACCTTAGAAACTCATGATTGCTGTCAGTGTGGTCAGTAGGTGATCATCAGGCACTGGCAGCGTGTGTCTTGATTTGATGAGGAATGTCTTCTCTAATTGACTGCTCGGGATCCCGAGCAATCAATGTTGAGTCGTCGGGACGCCGACGGTACAATGTGCTCCTTTCGGGAAGGATGCAATAAATGCTCTGTAAAAGGAGCATTTATTGCCTTTCATATCCGAACCTTACCGCATTGAATGCGGTCTCGTCAACAGAAGGGTGCAATTAATTGTTTGCTTCCCAAAGCGCATGTCAGCAATAGCGTGCGGTTTGCCTGTTTTTGATGTGACATCATATGCCACGCGTCCGTCACTTATTGGCTACGACTTCTGTATCCCAGCATGTTCTGACATTTCTTGTGTAAGAAGAGATCATGATGACTAGTCCATACTGGCATAGGCTGATGTCCAGTTTTGTCAGTAGCTTCATCCGGGAGTAGAGGAAGCGTCCAGGATGGAGTGACCCTCGGTGCCGAGGAAAGACTGACCTCGGGGGGACCAAGGTTGGTGTGTTCCCGAGGTACATGGCGACCGAGGACACATGTATTTGTATACTGTACCGAATATGTGATCCTATATGAGAGGTACCTCGGGGAGAGGGAGCTTTGCCGATGGTGCTTGAACCCCGAGCAACATTGTTTTGGAATCCCCGAGGACACGTGTCTTCATCATAGGCTTTTTCAGAAGAGTCCCATCAACTGCCCCCCAGCCTTCGATCTTCTGACGCCGAGGACACGCGTTGTCAGGAGACGAAGGGTTTTCCAACTGCCATCCGTCCTTCATCATGGCCTCGAGCAGCTTTCCCGGTCTTGGGATGTCGTGCGCATTAAATGCGCCGTTTTGGTTTTCCCGCCCAATGATGACAGTTTCCCCCCTATATAAAGGGGGTTTCTTCTCCGGTTTCTATTGTTTTGCAACTCCGATCTCTGACCCAGAATACGCTTTTTCTGATCTGCTTCGCCGGAGTTTCTGTTTCCTCAGCCACTTTCGACAGTATCTTCTCTTTAAAAATCACAGTTAGTAAACCCATTGTTGACTCCTGGTCCTTCCGGTGCGAGTCGTTTTCAAAGTTTTTCCTGAAAAACTCCGTTTCCGACGTCTTCTGGTGAGTTTCACAACCTTCTTCTTTATCGTCCTCCTAGCCTTCTTGTTTTTCC